AAGAATTTAAATAAAGCGTCTCTCGGTTTGTACCAGGAAGTAGCAGCTCAGTTACCCACACATAGGAAGTGTGATACGTTAGTAGGTATTTCGTGTGGCGCTGGCGCACACTTGTGCGTCGACTACGCGTGGGAGCGCGCGCACATGGCCCGATTGGGGCATACCGAGTGAGCCCCCAGACGATACACTTTTTATGACGCTATATCCAACATGTCACAAAATATTTAAGAAGCTACTGACAAACGATCACCATAAATAATGGATTTCCAAATTACATCGAATAAGATGACGCAAATAGTAGGCCTATATCCACTAGAATTAGACACATTATGAGGAGGTTTTATTCAAAAATACTTAGTCTGATTTAAAGCCACTTAGTAAGTATTTATTAATTTTTGAATCGTTTTACCAATTATTTAATTGGCAAGGCAAATTATAACAAGAGTCGATTTCCTATCGAGTAGGGACTGCAACAAATATTGATTCAAGGAATTTCCAATAATCGCAAAAGAATGCTTATTTTTATTGGTACTACTACTGCCACTACTGGCAAGAAGCAGGTGAAGTGAGTAATTGAGATGATATCGGATTTTAAGATTAGTAAGTTTTAATTAAACTGTTACTACTACTACAAGAGGCTAGGTAATCAAATAATAACGAGCATGATTGAATTAGTGATGTAGAGATGTGCACCTTGAAAACAATAAAATTCATTTATTCAGCCCCAGTGCGTAAGGAAGGACTAAGTAACGTAGGGGTAATAAATTAAGTTCAAATCAAATAAATTGCGTAAATGGTGATATGACTGATATGAAAGAAATGTGCAAAAGATCATTTTCTGAAATCTGAAAAATATAAAGGTCAGGTGAGGAGAGAGAGAGAATTCAGCGTTTGATTTTTACATAGTATGTGCTATGCGACTAGCACATACTATGTATGTTGCTTTTAAACTTAAAAAATTTGACAGTACGTAAGGTGAAGGTACTTTAACCATCAACTGGAGACACGTCATTAGCAAGTCGTACCGACGTGTGTCTATCTAGCACAACAGTACAAACAACACACTAGAGCACGTCGAAGCGTGTACGTTTGAACCCTCCTTTCAATACGGGTGCATTCCCAACCCGGTTTTTTGATCCCATCGTCGATCTCAGCAAGCCGAGGGGTCGCTTTGTCATGTGACACTTGTGCGCTCAAAACTCGCCCAGGGGGGTTCGTCGTTAAAATCGTGGATTAATTGTCTATTCACTCAGTGCAGTTAACAGAATATTGATTTCAGCTTCCGAACCCAATTTTTAATGTAGTCATGTCATCCATACAGTTAACTATTTAAATTCTTTATTTGAAACCTTTATTTCTCGGGTCGATAATTTCGAATCTTCCGTATTGCATGTCCAAAAGACCCTTACTGAATGAATGATAATAGCCTTTAGCCTTCCTAATTCAGAAATAATTTAATCCAGTATACATTAAAATAACACGCACCTCTTTTCTCGAGTGTGCCTGTACGACAAATAAGTTGAATTTTTCCGAAGCCTCAATTTACAATATTTTACTCGGTTGCGTGACCACAAGTGGACGCGCGTCGCCTGAGGTCGACGGAAGTAGACGATTTCTTTGCCAACCATAATTACGAGCTTCGTGAAGGAAAAGGTCGCAAACTAACATTTGCCAATTATATCCCATCTTTGAATACATGACTTGATTCAGCGGACATATCTTTCTTTTTGCTCTCAACGTCAAGTCATTAATTCAATTGATTTCTGTGCCTACAATTTATAGTCCCGCTTCAAGCATTAAACTCTTTCATTGGCTTTCAATTTCCCAATAAGACAACTACAAGTGGCGTAATTTTTGAGTGACATCATTGCCTAGTTCTGAGTGGCACCTCATTATGTAACGGACAGACGAAACGAGGCCGCAGTTTGCGAACCGGCGCGCGCGGCTCGGAAGTGCGTTCGAGGCGTTCGTTGCAACACCCCTCATTGTTGTTGCAGCAATAAACCGTACATTTCTTACAAGCTATTTGTAAACACAGATCATTGACTGATGTCCAATTTAAACAAATTATTTCCGGTCCTTCAATCATTTCGAAGATTCATCTTTTCATGAAATAAAATTGCTGTCAGAGTTCCTTACTTGATTCCAATACTCTTCTTGCACGTGAAAATAATTTATACACTATACAATAATACGGTATTGTTGTCGACAGAGTTCGATGCAGGTCAAGTCAACACACAGGAAGTGCTGCCATTTCCATCTGATGCAATTTAAAATAGTTCGTCATTCAATGTAGACTTCCGTTGAATTTGCAACGCTTTTCCTTCCTCTGCGTAAGCAGATTTGCTTTTAATCTCTGTTATTGTTTTCACAGAAATGCGATGTAGATTTCTTATAACCAATAATCATGAGATAATCTGAAGTCCACAGCGGATTGTATTATGTAGGTCGTCGGATACAGGGCAAAATACACGTATAGATAAAACGGACATGCCGGAATCCTGTGTCCGTTCTGAGGCCGTTCCTTTTCCGTACGCGGCCATCATCGGAAGTTGGTTCAGATTCGCGTCTCCACCCCCCACCCCCTCGGCCCTCGCACGTCCGCCGCCCGCGGCCCGCTGCTGCTGCCTAATTTCCTCTTCCCGCGTGTATTAATTTCCGGCTCAAACTATTCCATGTCTTCCATTTCCTATTGATGTTCGTCCGAGTTTAGGTACCTAATAGAATCTTGTGATTATGAAGCGCAAATTGATTTGCCATCTTGTTTCCCCCATCATCTTAACTGTAATTTGTTGATTAACATTTTGATGTTTTTTCTGACACCATTTGCATCTGTTCTATTTTCTTCAGAGAAAGCAACTCTCTTGATTATCTCGAGAAGCATTTGGAATTTGATAGCTTCTGTAATATCGTGGCTCTAAAGATGCCATTTTATATCAATATTTTGTTGTCAAATATGAAGCTTATGCAAATGTAACGGAGTACCTACGCTCTGCTGGCTGAGCATTTGCGCACACGCAATGAACTTATTTCGAGCACTTCCGCATGTGTTCGGGATTCGAGTCCGGCCGTTCGTCGCATTCCGCCGGAGCCACCACCGCCATCTCGAAATAATAAATAGGTATTTCAACCTGTGCCTCCTGCTCACCATCTTATGTGCAATTTCTCATACTGACTTGATGTTATCATGTTTTATTGCGATGTTTGTCATTTAGTTTTGCTCTGATATATTTGAAGTTAGTATAACCATGATAGTATTTTAGGTTCCCAATATGTTTAGCGTCTTATCCCGTATACTTTTCATCTAAGTAGATACACAAACACACATGAATAGCTTTACGCATATTAAACACTTTTTACGAGAACTAAAAGCTTATAAGTTAATTATTATCACTGAATTAATAACCTCATACAATACCGTTAACCAATAGTCAAAATCTAAATATAAACGAAAACCGCTACGCACAGCAGTTATAGCATTTACAAAATACAAGTTATCCTACTCACAACAAACTATATGCGATAACATGAACTGATGAAACATTATTAGATAACTACGTAACATCATAACGTTGACAAAGAAAGTAGCGGCAAGAACTGCGGTCACGGTCACGTATGGACGAACATCATAGTCTTTTATTCTCCAAATTACTGCACATAACTCCACGATGGTCGGCTGCGTGCCGCCACGACGCGCACCAACAACCGCCGAAATACCAGCGCGAGAAAGAGACGGAGCGATGGCGGGAACGCGGAGCGGGCGAAGGGAGCAACAGGTAAAGATTCCGAGGCCACTTCCGTCTTGGCTGCCGAATATTTCTGTCTCGAACCGGTAGTGGGACGGCGGCCAGGGCACACAAGATAACCCGCCCGACGTTTGGCTACCCAGTACCCGGTGCCCACCGACGCTCGCCGAGTTCAAAACAAGGAACGCTGCCCAAGTCAACCAACACCTCACAAATATGCAATGACTCAACGCTGAAATGCAGACATGTCTATTTTTCATGAACAGTCATACTGCAGAACTAGGCAATATGGTGATAGATACAATATCACGTATTATAGCTAATGAACATTATGAGAGAACTAAGACTGTAAACGAAATATTTTTTTCCATAAACAATCAAATCAATACAGGCGAAAGCTAAACAATACGAGAATGTTTTGAAACTTTACGTAGGAAGATGCAGAAAGATTTCTTCACAGCGGACCTAATAATGCAATGCGCTTTAAAATATTAAATGACGTGAATCATTAGAACTGTGGATACAAACATATTATTATACTCACTTAGCTGGACCGAATGAGCTCAGCTCAAACCGGTTGGCGATCATATTGTCTCGCTCTGCACCAGGAAACTGCCGTCCGGCTGCTCAGACGTTTCCTGTGCTTTGTCTCAATACTGCCACGACATCATGAACCCATCAACCAGCAACATACCCAATGACAACATTGTCTCAACTACATAAAGGCCTACATCTGATATCATTGGCTATAAAAATATGTAGAACATTGAAGTTTTACGTTCTTACATTTGTAGAAAGATATATTACTTGAACAACTGTTCATTAAACTTCGCAAATAATTAAGCCAGATATCTGCATACGTATGAACGAGAAAAAACAAGTCGTGTGAACGTGTCGCACTCGCGATTACTCTACAAACAAGGAAATAATGCGAGTTATTAAAAACTGGCGCGCTGACGTAATCCTACCGCACGGCTAGCACTTCCGCGTGCCCTAAGAATGTGTTTTGTGCTATCAACATCTTGCTTTCGGATATAAGTCAAAAGACAACCATCCAACAACTATAGGGCGTATGTCAACACTGAGCTATCCTGATAACGGTTTGCGGAAACATTGCTAGCGAGTAGCGGTGTACTTTTAGTTAAAAATGGGTCTTGGTCTCGCTCCCGAAGTTTTATCTCGGCAATATGTGAGGCGGTGCGGCGCGACGGCCGGGGCGCACGGGGGGGCCGGGCGCGCGTCCGCCCGCGCCGCCACCGCATCATCAGTCCGCGTCGGAGAGTTGCCCGCGACGCTTGTCTGCGAGCTCGATCCCTCAGATTCGCTGCTGGTTTACGGCGTGCCGTAACACGACACGTTTGGAGGGACCGCCGCTGCTACGCGTGTGTCTGGTGCTCTGTGAACTCTGGATATTGTGCTACTGGTGTTGTGACGATGTATGTGTGCTGAAATCTGCTGCATAAGTCTTCAATTAGGATTTTTAACGACGCAACCAGTTCCGGATCAGCTCAGCCGGTAAGTAGCGGTGCTTATCGCACACCGCGATATCGCGGACTCACGCATTTCCGACCGCGCCCGATAAGGACGTTAGTGCACTGGTGCCTCGTGATATGAACTTCAAATCCGGCGCGGAACTTCAAACACATAAAACTGCACCTTTTATCCTAACTTCTAGGACACTACTAACAAGGATAACATGCAACTGCAATATCAAAACAAGTCCTAGGGGTAGCATCTTTGTATCATGTAACAACCGGATAAATTATGCGGCCTACACATGCTTCCCTCTAATTATTTTTTCTCTTAGGTTATCCCCTCGGATAAGCCAACGCATAATAATAATACTCGCCCCCGTATTGTAACGATGTCCCATTCATCCCTACAAAAATTGCAACCAGCAGGTGACAACCCTAAATTTATCACTTTCGGAAATCTTTTACACTTATTTATTTTGCGCTGTTTGTTTTGTAACATAATGGTACGGTTTTTTATAAGACTACGTTGACATTAGTAAAAAATCCTCTCTCAACAACTCTTTTTGACAGGTTTCATATGTGTAAAAACCCTGTGATAAAACGTGGGTTATCTAACAAAGATAACCTTTGACGAAAAGAATCACAAAAGTGCCTAGCTCAAAGAATTATCTGAAAATATTCGCAGTTGCCCAATTTATTATATGAAATACCAGATTTTAATTAATGGAATACGAGTAACATAAAATAGTCTATATTCGTGTGTAGTTTCGTTGTAATCTAATCATACTAGTACATATTGAATGATCCAAATAAACAAAGTATCTAAAGTATGGCCGGCGCCGCATGGAAACTCGTCAGTATTGCATTACACTGCACACATTGTTTACGACCCTAACTGAAATACAACTATGTATTACGTATTACGAATATTTTATACTATACATATTGTGTAACATCTTGTTAGCTACCTACTTCGATTACAATAATAGCACTTAATAAACATTTGGATAAAATATTTAGATTATGTAATTTTTCTTCAGAAATAATATTTTCAAAATTTTTGTGAATAATTTTTCATTGTTTACATGCGTTTGAGTATTTATTTTACTATTAACGTTCACTGTTAAACTATTATTATAACACAACTTTGTATTATGACAGACCTACTTACATCATTAATTAGATCGGGTCAGGAATTTTCCCTAAATAATATAACTATACCTATACTTATTAATTTACGTATATTTTCATGCGAATCTATAGGATATTTTGGACTTGTTTCCCGTCAGCATTTGCATTTATTATAACCACAATACATAAAATAGCACCAACGTTTTTCATATACCTTAGTTAAATCCAATTATGTACTTGTTCCACAATGATTATTTAATTAATTGGCTTTCAAAATCCCGTTTTAAAACTCGTTGAATGCCGGAAACAAGCGTCTAATGAAATCATTTTGTTTGTTACAGATTGTCGTTATGAAAGTAGTTAGCTTGCAACTGCCTTCTGGGCCAAGCATGGAGCGGCTGCCGCTGCCATTCAGCCCGACGGAGCTGCTGTGGAGATACCCCCTGCCGTGGGCCCCACCGCCTCCCTCTCCCCTTGGTGACACCAAGGCTCAACTGCCAGCTGGTCTACCCCCAGAACCAAGACTTTGGACCAGAGAAGACGTTGTAGTCTTTCTCAAATGGTGCGAAAGGGAATTTGATTTACCAAATTTCGATATGGACCTCTTCCAAATGAATGGTAAGTAACGACAAAATAAATTGTTTTGACGATTCGATTTATCACCCAATAGAGTCCTCAAATTATGTAAATGTTATTTTCTTTGTCTGCAGGTAAGGCGTTGTGCCTATTAACAAAGACAGATTTGGGAGAACGTTGCCCTGGCGCTGGTGACGTTTTGCACAATGTTCTTCAGATGTTAGTGCGCGATGCTGCCCTATTGGGGAGAGTGCCCTCTTCGCCAGTAACACCGACGGCTAGAGCCGCTCCTTACCCACCTTCCCCACACTCGCATCCTCCGACTCCCACATGGGCTGTGGACGGTTTCCACCACTTCCACAGTGCGGCCGCTGCTGCAGCAGCCCAACCCAACTCTGTAACATTAAGCCCAGCTCCTTCCGTAGACAGCTCCGGCAGTCCGCAGCGCGGAGACACAGTTAACTACGGTCCTACCTATGCTCCATCAGTCCTAACTCAGGTTCAAGCTGCCAGCTCTGGAAGCAACCACTCTGACTCAGACGAAGAGGCACAGTTTGTCCCACCTCCACGGTCACCGAAAGAAGTTCCGCTTGCAAGTCCTGCGCCGCAAACACACGCAACGCAACATTCGCATTACCGCGCTCAACATAGGGAGTTCTTCCCGAATGACATGCCTGAATCGAATACGAGTAAGTATTACTGAATCGACAGATAAAAATCATAATGCATAAAATGTAATTTTATAAATATTATACTCCAACAAACATTGGCTAACATTTATCTTTTCATTAATTTCAGATGGCAGACTTCTGTGGGACTTTCTGCAACAGCTACTTAATGATCCTACACAGCGTTACACAAACTACATCGCCTGGAAGAACCGGGAAACTGGTGTATTCAAAATTGTGGACCCAGCTGGACTAGCTAAACTCTGGGGAATCCAGAAGAATCATCTTTCAATGAACTACGACAAGATGTCGCGTGCTTTGAGATACTACTATCGTGTCAACATTCTTCGTAAAGTGCAAGGAGAACGACATTGCTACCAGTAAGTACACACGCTTATTCACAGAAAATGTTTCTTCCACACTATGAATTCTACATCATATCACAGAAACTAACTGAATTTTTCTTTCCTTTTTTCAGGTTTCTCAGGAACCCAACTGAACTGAAAAACATCAAGAACATTTCACTCTTGCGTCAACAAATGAGCCCAACGAGAGTTGTACCACAACAGACTGTGGTAAAATCAGAGATGAAAGAAGAACGTTGTGATGAAGAAATTGTTGACGAAGACATGCCAACCGACTTAAGTATAACTGCATCAGAGCCCTGGAGGAAGCGCGCGCGCCCTGACCCCACGTCGGCGCCCTCGCAACATGACAAACATCGCATCAGTGCCCTCATCGGTGACAATTTGATGCCAAAGCGTGAACCAGTAGAATATAGTGCTGAAAATTATGCGCTAAACTTAAGAAGTGAAAAATGTGAACAATGATTTTTAAATACTTAAGACGCTGAACAATTACAGTGTATTGCGACATTAACAAGTGTGAATGACTCCAGCCACGAAAATTCTAGTCGAATTTCTCTCAAAAAGCTAAAAAGTCTTCCTTTACATAATAATGATCAAAAAGTCATCTCAATATACGTTTATGTTAAAAACAGCTCGATTGAGAGAACTTCGACAGATTAGGCCTGCGGAGTCAAACAGGGTATGGACCTTAAATGATGCCTTTGTGCCAAGTGATTTTATCTAATAGTGTCAATTACCTAAATAGTTAGCAAAAGCGGACAAGAGTTTATGTGTGTTAAAGTCATAATAAAGACTATATTTTAATATTTGTGCAATGGACCACTGACATGACTGCCGACATCTCGCAGCGGTAGAAAAATGTTGCCAAAATCCTGTATGAGCGTGGCACCTACGCGCTCATTAATGCATTTTGTAATTTAATTAGTTTGTAACTATGTTTATCTTTGGTTATAAAATTCTAAAAAGAGTTAAATTGAAAACTCGTGAAGAGAATATTATTATCATTAAAATTTAGAGTTTATAGTCTTCCATGGAATATATTTGGCAAACATTTCAATTGTAGCATGATCAGAAAACACGTCATACAATCTACCACATTTAATTCACTTCCAAATACCCTTATTAAAATGTCACATTGATTGCCACTATGTAGCTGATTTCACATTATTGTGTATGTAAAGGGCTTAATAAATAGGTGTTTGGGACATAAAAAAGACAATAATAGCAAACAATCTATTACTTAAAAATGCCTTTAAATCTACAAAAAACGTCCACTGTGATAAAAATAAAGTGGTAGACATAGAGTATGCTAGGGCTTTTACTCAAAGATTTCCAGCTACAATTTTCTGTGATCTCTTTTATCAATATAGGTAAACGTCATAGAGTAAAGCTATGTTTTGTAAATATTATTTAAGGCTAGACGTAAGATAGATTATAAGAAACAGACTGTAAAGAGAGTATGTATGATTTGTAAAACAAAAGTGGAGCTTTATCAAAGTACCTAGTTTATGAGTAAGAATTACAACTGAGTTTGTATTTTTACAATAATTTCTATTTCGGCAAGTGCATGCCATAATTTCCAACTTGTTTGTACACAATATTATAAACATGTTTCATATTCAATATTGTGTCAGATTTATTATAACTTAAAATAAATGGAAATAACGTTATCTCAATAAATTATTTTATTTAACGCCCAAATACGCCTCGATACGCTTAATCGAAAAATATTAACGCAATTAATATTTCTATTATTATGAATTCAGATAGGAGAAAGCATAATATTCTTTCATACCTTTTTAAAACTGAGGATTCTTAGTATTATGTAGGAAATGAGAATCTATGAGACTGAGAATTCTCTGCAGAGTGAACAACATGTTTCGTTTTTCTTTAAAGGGATTTAAAGTTAACAAGAATTTATAGAATCGCCAATGATTAAATATAAAGAATTCCGAACAGCAACACTTTCCGAACCGCACCGGGGTCTGCTCAATGATGGCCGCAACGTAGTAAATCCGAATGGCCATATCATCAGCATCCCGTAGCACAAAAAAGCTGCTCGAGAACGACAGAATCAGAGAAAAGTGAAATACCGTGCAAGAGGTGTTGTGTTGTTATGATGATATCAACGTTATTTTAAAACGACTTTCGTTGAAATTTTTTAATGAAAAATAAAAGATTTTCCGTAAGGAGGAGCGCAAAAAACCGTTCGATTAGTATCATAAAGTATGTGGATTTTCTATTTTTAAGATTTTCTGGGGTGAGCACTAGACCATTCTGAGGTGGGCATGACCTGTGTCCACACAAAACGAGGCACCCGCAGCACGGTGGATCGAAATGGCATTAAAGTGGACATAGGGATTTTTTCCGGAAAATCGAATTTTAAAAATTGCCAATCGATAGTCCTTTGCTCACTCATCACGACATGTCATATCACATTTTTCTCTAAACCTGATACTTTTGCTTAAAAAAAATAATTTGTGTTCTTTTTGTATGAAACGAGACATAAAGTGCTAATTTTCTCCGAAGACCTGCTAGATCGTGACTTGAAACAACCTAGGTCGGTATAACTGCATTATTTATTAATATTCTAAGCTATTTCCAGCTGCTCCAAACCGCAACTTAGCCTGTTAAAAGATTCCGAAAAAAATTAAAATTGACTCTTCTTGTAATTGTATTTTAGTTCTTTTTTTTAGAAAAAGCTTCGATTACGGTACTAGAAAGTGATTTTATCGTTAGGTGACATTGTTATCTATTCTCAGAATCTGTTAAACCCTTTCTTTCCTATCAGCACATGACTTTAAAACAACAATGAAGTTACTCATACCTCGTAAATAACGTGTTTTGCGAATAAGCAGATAATGGTCAGGGGTGGGGGGTAAAAAACAGATAAGGATTGTTTATTTGTTTTAAATTTAGTTTGGGCTGTGTAACGTCACCAATAACATTTAACTTTAAATGCGGTTTTTAACATGTAATTACAATGGAAGCTATTGTGAATAATATAGATTTGTTCGTAGTCTTAAGAAATACCTTAAAACCTTTCATGGACAGTGAGGAACTTTATAATCACCTTTAGCAGAAAATGGTACATTTGTCAGAAGAAAACAGTGTTAAGATAAAAAAAGTTTGCCGGAATTTTTGTACTAATCTTAATGGACGATGGACAAACTGTCATCTATCTCTTCCCCAATTTTTAAGTAGAAACAGTGATTGCCTTGAATCTCCAATTAACTGGGTCTGGCAACTAGTTTTTGATGAAGACAAAATTGAGGAAAATGTTGGTTCAATTACTGAACCTAGTGAAAAAACAACATCAAATATAGATGCTATTACAGAAAACATGCCAACTTCTACACTACATGCATCGACTACTTCCTTTATCCCGAGCAAACCGTTACATAAATTAACTCAGAAACAGAAAAAAGATGTATTACACGTTACATAAATTAACTCAGAAACAGAACATTTTCCTCAATTTTGTCTTCATTAAAAACTAGTTGCCAGACCAGTTAATTGGAGATTCAAGCCAATCACTGTTTCTTCTTAAAAATTGGGGAAGAGATAGATCTGGGGGCACGGCAGTGCCCCCACCAAGTGGGGATGTTGCCTGGGTCAAAAAGCAAGAGTTTTAATTAGTCCGTCAGTTAACTTATCAAAAAATACTCTACTCGTATTTTTCACTTTTTCAAACTAATGAAAATTNCCGCGCGGAGTGAGCCAGGCCTGCCGCAACGTAGTAAATCCGAATGGCCATGACATCAGCATTCCGTAGCACAAAAAAGCTGCTCGAGAACGACAGAATCAGAGAAAAGTGAAATACCGTGCGAGGTGTTGTGTTGTTATGACGATATCAACGTTATTTTAAAACGACTTAATGAAAAATAAAAGATTGTCCGTAAGGAGGAGCGCAAAAAACCGTGCGATTAGTATCATAAAGTAGGTATGTGGATTTTCTATTTTTATGATTTTCTGGGGTGAGCACTAGACCATTCTGAGGTGGGCATGACCTGTGTCCGCACAAAACGAGGCACCCGCAGTAGCGTCAGTAGCGACGTACTCGGGGATTTACACCAGCGCCATCTACTGAGTGGTGCCTGCCACCTGTTTGTGGTATTGAGTCAATACTTGATAGAATACTGGTTGGCCACCCTGGGGGAGCCAACAGGATGTCGAAATACAAGCGTTGAGCGTCGCGTCGGGCGTTTTTACCGTTTATGCTGAGGCGGCGCGTGCAGCGGCCTACGTCGTCCCACGCACCAACTCAACATAAAGAAATGACGATATTGGGGTGTAGCAGTTAGGCCTCAGCCTCGAACTTAGCGGGCAGCGGGGCGGGAGCGGCGGCGGCGCTGGAGCGGGGCGGGCAACGCAGACCCGTTCTCGAAACAAGCGGGCAGCTCGCGCGGCGCTTTAGCGGCGANTTGACTTGGCCATCGCATGAAAACACGTGTAAATAAAATTATTTAGTGCGATGGCCAAGTCAATAATTTATGTAAAACGTTAAAGATTTCCTGGCCTGGACTTGGTATTACATGGATCTCACAACTTTTTACCCTAGAACAACTGAGTTGCGAGACTTGGTTTTTTTGACAAGTATTGTTTTTGATGGGATGACAGTTGTCCATCATCAAGAAGAATAATGGTGTAAAAATCACTTTGATTTTTGGGTATTTCACGTTCTTTGAATTTGTGATTTCTTATTGTAAAATGCTTAAATCTAAGAATTTTCTCAACTAACTATTTGCCTAAAGGACCTATGCTATAGGATATAAATGTTTGTTATATCATTTTCACAGTATTTTTATAAAAAAATCAGCTTGTAAACTGACGCTAAAGTGGAAATTTGAAAACCTGTGAGGACTTATCTTGATAGAATTCTTAAATACTATACTAATCGAAATATTATCTCAACTAACTATTTAGACGACAAAATTGCCTAATTATTTATGCCTATAACATATTTGTAATGTAACTGGTTAATGATTGTAACGGGTTGAAAAAGTACTGTTTTTGCGCCACGGCGTAAACGCTCTTAACACTTCACAATAGCTTCCATTGTAATTACATGTTAAAAACCGCATTTAAAGTTGAATGTTATTGGTGACGTTACACAGCACAAACTAAATTTAAAACAAATAAACAATCCTTATCTGTTTTTTACCCCCTACCCCTGACCATTATCTGCTTATTCGCAAAACACGTTATTTACGAGGTATGAGTAACTTCATTGTTGTTTTAAAGTCATGTGCTGATAGGAAAGAAAGGGTTTAACAGATTCTGAGAATAGATAACATTGTCACCTAACGATAAAATCACTTTCTAGTACCGTAATCGAAGCTTTTTCTAAAAAAAAGAACTAAAATACAATNAAAGTGCATAAATGTACAACTTAATGGTAAAAAGTCATTCCTTGATTTTTACTTAATATGTATCTGGAGTTATTTGAACAGTATTTTCGTCTATAGGATGGCATATTTCAAAAAACAAAACTGCACTCAAGCGTGTTGTCACAGCAACCGCTGAGCACATACTAATTGTATTTCGGTCCGTGGACCTATTTACATGCCAGAAACAGTCTAGTTGACATGTCTTCTCTAGTACGTAGTACATTATAACTCAATGCTGCAGCTCAATCTTTTATTTATCTCGACACAAAAGTGATAGCAAGGGTATTTGCTAACTAATAATGCAGTTGCAGTACATTAGATTACTAACTCTCGTAGTAACAACAATAAAATCCGCGACAGATTTAGTTTCGTGTTACCCATTAGGCCATTAAGGGCTTGTACTGAAACTGTGAACTTGTGTCTTCCAATAGCAATTCTTTTTGCGTTGCGAATTCTCATCGCGTCGATTCTCAGTTTTGTGTAAAACCCCTTATTTGGCTAGTAGATTGTAAGAATGTGGAAAATTCATAAAATGCTACACAAACTTACATCTCTTGCACAGGAAGAAGATTGCTTAGAATGTANGACGATCTCATAAAGGTAGCAGGAAGGCGGTGGATGCAGGGCACCACCAAGCGGCCATTGTGGAAATCATTGGGGGAGGCCTATGTTAAGCAGTGGACGTTCAATGGTTGAAATGATGATGGATGATGAATAATGTGTAGAAGAGGGTTACGGATATTTCCATTTATGATGGAATTATTTGACTAACTGAATGGAGAGCCATAAAAATGTATTGTTTACCATATGGGTTGAAACCCTTACTGAACCCACTACCTACTGTAATCGATTATGACAGTCAAAATGATTTAAGGATCTATTCAGGACTACTCTAGAAAGTTAAAAAATCTTTCATAACCATTGAAGTCAAGGGTTCTTGCTTGAAGACTTTTTTTAATCATGTATGTCGGTATTATAAGTGCCAAGAAGTAGGTATATACCTCGGCAAAGGGTTGATATCTACCTAATCTATCTTACACGATAACCAGTAGACCAGTAGTGAATATTATACTAACAATAATCGACTTAGGCTACCTAGTACCTACAATCTTAGGTTCTAGTTTGAAAGGTTTTAGCATGAAATGAGGTAATAGGGGGCTGTAGTAAGTTAGACTAAGTATATTTATCTATTAATAATTACTTTAAATGCATTAAAATCAATAATGAATAAATAAAAAATTTTAAAATTTTGCATGTCCATTACTCGCTAGGCCGCGCGTGCCCGCAAAAAGTATTTATGTAGTAATGTTAGGCACCATAGGTACTTACGACTACATAAGGTTTGACCGCTACAGTTTGCAACAGTAGCCAGAAAAAAAATAAAAAAGATTTTTCTCCATACAAATTTTCTTGTCATATTTTTTTTAAGCATGAAAGGCTCGTTTTATCGAAAAATGCATAATCGAGTCGATCGAGTCTCGAGTCTCGTGTGACTGCATACGGACGCGCGCGCGCACCGCTTGTCGTTGAAGCGGTGACTCATTCGTTCGCGAGAGAGAAAAATGTCTACCAATACTGTGAAGTGTGTAAACTGTAATAACTATAGTGATAAATGAGGTGTTGGCATTCTTNTTTTTAAAATTCGATTTTCCGGAAAAAATCCCTATGTCCACTTTAATGCCATTTCGATCCACCGTGCGCAGTAGCGTCAGTAGCGACGTACTCGGGGATTTACACCAGCGCCATCTACTGAGTGGTGCCTGCCACCTGTTTGTGGTATTGAGTCAATACTTGATAGAATAATGTCACCACACAACTAAGAAGCTTTAGGGCTCGTTTAAGGAGACGCGGGGCGTTGGTGCAGTCCTGTTGTCCCCCGTGGTTGGCCACCCCCAATCGAAATCCTGTAGGCTGTTGGGCCAAGCAGGGGAGGACAACAGGACTGCACCGGGGCGTTGAATGTCGCGTGCGGCACGGCGTGCTCCGTCGCGTCGGGCGTTTTTACCGTTTATGCTGAGGCGGCGCGTGCAGCGGCCTACGTCGTCCCACGCACCAACTCAACATAAAGAAATGACGATATTGCGGTATAGCAGTTTACGCCGCTGAGCCCGCCGCGTCGTACACAGCGGCGTATACGGCGTCGTTCAGTGCGGCACCCGTTGTGACTTTCAGTCTTGTTCGACTAGTTGCCAAGAGAAAACTTGTATTTTGTTTATAATAGTGGGCGACTTCATTGAATATTGCGATCCCCCATTTGATTGTGAAACCCGTAGTTTACACGCCGCGTCTTTCGCGGCGTCCCTCGCCGCTTCATTTGCCGCGTCATACGCGGCGTCGTTAGTCGCATGCGACGCCACAATTCAAACAAACGCTTACAAAATAGCTTCTCCTTGAACGCTCCTAACTCTCCTGTATGTTTGTGTTTCTGGCGGCCCGCTAAGCGCACCGTGCCGGTTAACGCCCCGCGTCTCCTTGAACGAGACCGTAAAGAAAACGTAAGTACCTATACTGCAAAAGTGCAATGCGACAGACTACAACAAATTATAGAATCTACTCAAATAAAAATTTAGATTATCTGCTCCTGCCATGAAAACATACTCCTAGCTAGAATAACTATCATATTATTAAAGGTAATTGTCATCCTTTGTTGTTCCCATTACTCAAACATAACATGATTTGTAAATAGTAAATGAATAAGATCACAGACTACAATGATACAGATTCAACAATTTATTAATAGCATCACTCAGATCCTGCTTACACTCTAAAGTAATTACTTATCATAATACTAAAACAAAACATAAATCTTATTTTAATCTTCAGGTGGCTGGTTCTGGAAGAATATTACATCATCAGCTATCACTGTTGAAGCAGTCCTTACTTGACCATCATCCAGTTTGACTTCTCCGTATGACAATTTTCCAGTGACATAAACCCTCTGGCCCTTCTTCAAATATTTGTACACTGTGTCGCGTAGACCAGGTTTAAAAATGCTGACTCTGTGCCAATCAGTTCTTTGAAGAATATCTCCAGACTCATACTTATAATGGAAGTGAGTAGCAAGTGGAAAATTGATTACTGGATGTGCTTCAGAACCTCTCTTTTGAGGATCTGCTCCCACTCGTCCCAATAATGTAACTTGATTTATAGCTGTGAAAGAAATCAAATATAAAAAATCGGTTCTTATTTTAAGCCAGCTAATAAGCTAAATGTAACATAAATTTCATAATTCCTATTATTTCATTTACTTTTTTCTGACTTCTGACTTTCATGAACAACAGTGGATGTATGGATTCCAGTTTGAGGAGCTCTGAGAAGTCGGGTGATCGGCCTTGTTTTCTGCAAATTAAATAAATAACTTGTTTTGAGTACAACAGTTGCATAAATACCTATTAAATTGTAATAATTATAATAATAAAAAAAGCAATAGTGACCACCATGACACAAAAACGAAAAAGAAGCATATTAGTAAGCGAGCCTACCGTCCTACTGCAGCACACAGGTTACAATTTTGTATACCAATTTCTCTATGCAATGACCAACCAGAAACATGCATTGTGTTAATGTTAGTTTAGTTAAAAGAAAGGTTATAAACGCAGAGTACATTAAAGTGTAATGAACGCTCAATAAACCAATTACATTATAACAATTTAATTGTATTAGGCTATTTATTTTATGGAAACACATTAAAATTATTTTAAAAAATTGTTTATCACACAAAAACAGGCAAGAAAACACGAAAGCCGGCGCCAAAAGTTTGACTTACTTGTAAGTAGGTAAACATTGTGATATCGTCTCGCTAGTTGCACTTCAATTAAGAAATAACACTTTTAAAATCACTGGACATTGATAAATAAACAATTACAATGGTATTATTTAATTAATTATTTGCAAAATTAAAATGTAAAAAATGTGACCAAGAATTGTGTGCACAGATTACAAAGAAAAGGTTTGACTTTGACAATGACAAGACAATTAAAACGAATGTTTTCTTTCCAGAGATTATGTAAGTTGAGAGATGAACTATTAAACAGGCTGATTTATTTTTGTATTGAGTTATAAAATTCTTGTAAGGCTTAGAATAAAGGGTTGCTTTAATCCCTTATTAGGATTCTGTACACAATTTAATTTCTTCGTTCGTTTCTGAAACTAAGTAAATACAAATTGTACCGAAACTAAATTAAACCAACAGTGGGCAGTCCAAAAATTAATGTTTGCAAAAATAATAAAAGATTAATTTATAGTAAAAACGTTAATAACTATTTGGTTTGACCGGCACTATTTTTTAAGTCATGTCTGCGGTCTTCAGTAGTACCAACATAATGGCAACAAAAACATTATTTTAGTCTGTGGTTCTCCGCCTTGCGTCGTTTTGCAAATGACAGTTCAGTTGATTTTGGTTGGTGGATTTATGATAGATAGATAAAAATCTATCTCTATCTATCTGTTCAACCACCACCACCACCATACACCCAATCCAGGAAAAGTTGTTGCCTGTGAAGGATGCCTTCAGCTGCGAATGCAAAATCTGAAAAACCAGCCTCTTCGGAGGCGATGGATAATTCACCTATTCGACAAATTATCACGATTATTGAACACAAAATCAGGAATTTGGAGAAAAGAAAGGTATGTAAACTACCGAGAGATACAGTTGCTCATTCCTATTGTTGTCATTTAGTAGTTTAAATGCTTCGTATTCATTAATGTTTGTGCGACAACGTTGTTATCTTGATTTACTTTGCTGTATATGCCGTAGGGCTTCGTATTTTGTATGTAAAATGAGTTGCCGAGAACCGTTGACGCCATTTTTACACATGTGCTCGTTCCAATGTTGACTACACAAAACTATGACGCCCAAAATTTTGACATTTATTTACATTATTGAAGATGGTTATAGATGGTTTTTATTATATCTTTAGTAAATTGCTCTTCATCAGAATCATTGAACTGAATCCTACGCCGATATCTCATCTAAATACCTTTATTTGTTACTGTCTTACCATACAACTTTTGCTTACAAAAATACCATTGAATGTAGCAAATGTTTATTTCACCGAAAAGTAATTGTATTCATAGGGCTAATTGCCAGGAAAATTATGTATTACTATACTGATACTACTTAATAATCAAATTATTCTGCTTTACAAAGAGATAAATTCAATGAAGATTTTAAGCTTTGTGCACAGCACAGGGTCTTAAAAATATATTTATTAGACATTTATTATTGAAAATAATATTGAGGCTTATTGTGGTTATTCATAAACATTTCATAATCTTATGAAAAGTATCTCTATAAACTTATTTTTATCACTATGATTCATAATGTTTATGTTCTAATCAATTATGTTTTGCGCAATCACATGATAAGATGTAATGTACCCAAGGGTACATAAATGTTAACATTGTACAATAAACATGTTTGGAACTCTTACAATTTCAGAGTAAGCTGACATCTTATCGCGACTTGCAAAAGGCTGGGAAAGAGTTAAACTCTGATCAGAGAGTAGCTGTTGCCAAGTATGATGAAGTGGCTCAAACTTTGGAGTTTGCGAGAGATTTGTCGAAACAAATTACATCTATTGCTACAGCAGCTGAACGAGATGCCAAGAAGCAAGCAAAGAAGGTAAACATACTTTGTAGAGCTGCTGTATGGCAGGAAAAAAATGCCTACTTGCATGAAGAGAACTTAATTTAACTAGCCTAGCCTGTAACATTTATAATTAAAATGTTATATTATTCTGTTAAAACAAAACCTGTATAATTTTTGGTGATTTTTTCCTAGACACTAGTAAAAATTTTGTTTTATGAACCATCTATTACCATAGAGATATACAGTTTGTTCCTAAATAGTAGTTTATAAATCAAATCACAAATATTTTAGTCAGCTTAGACCAATATTTTGGCACTTATGAACGTTAAAATTAATAATAAAAATATGTAGCCCTTATGGGGCACTTTACATGTCTCCTTTTCTTTGGGGCCCTACCAGTGTTAAATTCAATAACAGCAAGTTCTAGTAGTACCAAATGGTTGTGTTATGAGCTGGAGGTTTTTTCTAGTTTGTTATCCTAAATAAAATAAAATACATTTTTGTTTCTGCTGTAGGATGCCTGGGTGCGTTATGCAGCTGACACTAATAAGATTCGGGAAGTCTTGTTGATTCTGGATTGCCTCATGCAAATGGGCAACTCGGAAGCTAGAGACGACTTTCTTAATGGTACTAATGGTGCTGTTAAACTTACTGAAGAGGATTTAAAAATCTTGGATGATTTGTAAGTTATTTAATTTCTTTTTTGTTAAATTAGTATGTCATAAAACTGGTTAAATATTGCATACTCTTTTACTTTCCTACTAAACATTCATTCATAGAATAATATCATTTTGTTCATTGCACTTTATCTTAAACTAAAGGGGTAGAATGTTTTCACTTCTTGTGCCATCATCACTATCTCGTTTCAACTTTCAATATATCATTTTCAGGTACCCTGAGGTGACTCCCAAACATGAGGTGGCGGAAGATGGTTTGCCAGCTTTTCCCAATCTAAGCATCAAAGCGGCCGAGCACTTGTACGCCATCATCGACGGGAAACCGAAAGAAGTCCTGGGCACCACTTACACTCACATCAAGGAGATCGTTAACTCCGTACACGAGTGCGGATACTTCGATCGGGTCCCGGAGGCCGCGTGCGAGGTGGAGGAGAGCCAGGTCGCCGTCCCCGAGGAGCAGGCGCCGGAGCCGGTCGAGGAGGAGACTGAGGCGGAGCCGCCCGGCCTCTACCCGCCCGCGCTGCCCGTGCCGCCCGCGCCCGCCGTCGTGCCCGCGCCCGCCTACCCGCTGCGCCCGCTCCCGCCCATCACGCTGCAGGAGGTCGAGCACGCCTACTTCTCCCAGCAGTATCCCCAACAGAGACCGATCGCCGAGGTGATAGGCTCGCAGAACTTCTTCTTCCTCCAGGAGTCCGAGATCGACAGCCCGGTCGGCACGCCCCAGCCCCCGGCGATCCCCAACCGGGCGTCGCCCCCGGCGCCGATCCCGACTCAGACGTTCACCAACCAGCACTTCGTCCGCGTGCCCGACGGCGGCGCGCTGCCGCTCCCGCCGCAGCCGCACTTCCCGCCGCACCCGGAGCACTCGTTCCCGCCCGCCGCCGCGCTGCCGCTGCCCGCGCCGCTGCTCCCCGCGCACGTGGCGCCGCTGCCCGCGCCCGCGCCGCTGCCGCCCGCCGCCCTGCACGCCGCCCGCCCCCGCCCCGCCCAGCCCCGCCTCCCCGCCCGAGGACAGGAGCGCCGACGAGTGGAAGGACGCGCCCAGCCCCGAGCGCGACGACGGCGCCGACCGCAAGACCCAGGGCCAGGGCGACGGCCAGAACCGCTTCAGGCGCTTCAACCGCGGCGGCGGTCGCGGCGCGCCCAACGGCCACCGCGGCCGCGGCGCCTTCCCGAGCAGGCAGAGCGGCGACGGGTACCGCGGCCGACACGCCGGCGAGTACCAGAGCAGGGCCACCAAGGACGGCCACCAGAGCAGACAGTACGACGGCCACCAGAGCAGACACAAGGACGGCTATCAGAACCGCACCGGCGACGACGGTTACTACGGCAACGGCGACGCGGGCGATCACCGGGAGACCGAGAACGGCGGCCGCGACCGGTACAACGACAACGGCTACCAGGGCGGGTTCAAGAGCCGCGGCCGGGGCGGGCCCCGCGGCGGGTCCCGCGGCGCCCCGCGCGCGCCCCGCCCGCAGCAGTACAATCGTAAACCAGAAAACGTCGAATAGTTCACGTGGACCGCGACGATGCGCCGCATCGTTGGCGGCTGCGTCACCCGACTGTAACCTATGATGGACTAAATCATTCGTGGAAGGCAGATTTCACCGGCAACAACGCGCTGTGGTAACAACAAACAGAGATTATGGTAAAAAAGAAAACTAAAAAAAAGAATAAAAAAAAAGTAAAATAATAAAACGTGAAACTCAATAAAAAATAAGTTACTTGAATTTAGATGTATGATATATTGCAATTATTATAAGTTACGTAATTCTAGATTCTTGTATAGGTTATGGTCACACAAGTGGCCAAATGACGCGGCGGGAGCGGGCCGGCCGCCGCTTGTCGCAGTACCTCTTGCGTGCCTCGTCCTCGTGATAATTTAAGTACAGGAGATGCACACAACTGAAACACTTGTCTTCTGGGACCTTTCCAAATCTCAATAATCTTTGTACTTTAATACAGTTTATTTAAATGGTAATACATAATGTGTTAAGACATTCTATGTTTATTTTTCATGACCCAATGAAACTTGAAACATTTTAATTTTGCTACTATTAGGCACTACATTTTTGAGTATTTTGTTTTTAAGTATGTATTTAATCTGGAAAAGTACATGATTGCATCTTGTAAAACTAATTTCAGAAAATATGAGGAGAATTGATTTTGCGACTTTTAATGAATCTGGTCCACATGATTCTTGTGATTGGTATCACTGTGGAGTTTTATTATTTTTGTTTTGTCTAAGCTTCCTCACAACATATTCTTAACATTGTTCTCAATAGAGGCTGTGTGCAAGCAAATTAAAAGTATTCTACAACCATGATAGTTTTATTTAGTAGAAAAGTACCTAAAAATAGAAAATTAGTTTTTGGACACAACAAGCTGATAGAGAAATATCTAGGTCAGATTTCCGGTCAACAATCTTATTTTAGCGCTCGCCAGTTGGCGCCACTGAATAGTGAGGTCAGTCATTTTGCAAGTGGCGAAGACAGTGACAACTAGAGAGCGCTGAAGCGGTAGGAGGTTCGCCAGTAGTGGCAACTAATAAAAACGATAGCCCCTATTATGTATAAAAAAGGATACCTACTGTGCCGGTTGATCATATAACCAAGTACTCATTATTATTCTGTGATATAAGTTATATCACAATAATACACACATCAAACATGGTCTAAACTTTAGACCATGTTGGATGGTACGGCCAACGAGAAGCGATACCAAATGTAAACAAACCATGGGTGAACTCGTCTGACTTTAACATATTTTGGCGGGAGAAGAACGAGACATTACGACAAATACACAAGATGGGAAGAGACAGAATATATTGTCAACTCGACAGTCGTATCGACCTTTTGTATCGCTACTAGTTGGCCGTACTTTAGGGGTATTTCAATTATACTTAAATAAATATAATAACTAAAATTCTATTAACTTTTTGTTAAGATTCCTACACATTAAAATAAACCTCGTTTAATAGCCTATATCTTATCTGATAATAAACTTTTAGATAAAGTTAAATTTAAAAAAAACTTAGAAGAGGAAAAACTCAGACAAGCTTAACTTTATTTTTGAAACATCAAAACAAACATTTTTTTTAAATAAAAATTGTTGAAAACTTAAAATTATTAATCCGTGGATCCACCTAGGACTCTATTGATACATCTGCAGCGATTCTGCATACTCAAAACAAGGGTGTTAATATCCTGTTGTAGAATACTGTCCCAGATCCTGCTAAGATGCAAGAAAAGATGGTTTTTATGCACAATATCTTCAGGGAAATTCTTAAGAGCTCTTCTCTGAAGCATATCCCAGGCAACTCAATCTACGTAATTAAAGGATTAAGAATAACTAAAAACCGTAGGTTAGTTTAGCTTATAAAATCGCAGCAATGCGCTTCAGTCCGTCGGTATTCGCCGTACGAGTTATTAGTTATTCTTGTGTGTGGTAAATAAGAAAACGTTATGCTATTGAAAGATTTTATTCGATAAAATTGCGATTTATTAGGATGTCTTATAGTAAGAAATGATGTAGTATTTATCAACATAAACCTGTCCAATCTGAACAAAATAAATAAAGTTCTCTTTAACTTTAATTACCAGAAAGAACCTGTTATTTTTTACAATGCTACTTAAATCTACTAGGATTATGAACCACATCATTGCAGTTGTCATAATCATAATTCATCATAACCTATACAACCTAATGCAATTATACAAAATATCTTCTCATACTGTACTTATTTAAGGTAGAAATATAATATCGTCACATTTTGTTCATTTATAAGTTAGGGCAGACTAATCGGGTTTTAAAATATAAGACTAAAATGATTTGTTTCAAAACGGTAAATTTATGCCGCTTCATACCTCCCGTTAATGCGGAATGTGATACACGAAGTGCCAATTAGAGTCTCATCTGGTTTGATGCAATCAATATGCACGCGTCAACTTTTTAAATCCGAGAAAATAGGCCTAAAATCATGTTACACTTAATTAGTGCGTTTTAGGGTGGTCAGGTAATTTTTTGCCCACATTAATATAAAATTTGAAAGAAAATCAGATCCTTCGAACTTCCATAACGACTACAACAGATACAAAAAGATTTTATATCATTAGTTTGTTTAAGTTTTACAAATACATACATAAAATTATCACAATTAACCAATGGCTAAGTTTAAAATATAGCGATAGTTGATCATATAAAACACTGGAATAAAACATAATGGTAGAACATTTCTAGAAGTTATATAAATTATTCAAAACAATGTTATTAACAAGTATCAACTAAGCACTGCGTTTCGAAGTGTGACAGGTTATAAAGCAAACGAGTGGTGATAATACAGTTTTCATTTCGAATAGGCCACATAACTTACAGATAGTTGCTAAATTAAAGAAATTAGTAAATAATTTGGAAGTAAACTTGATCGCGTCGTAACATGAAAATGCAAAGCAAAATATGCTAAAAATAGCATTGAAATAATTTTAACGAATTATCATTCATTTTTATTTAAAACTTCTGTATGTTATATTCAATTACCCTACAGGAAGACTATTTTAAATGAATGTTCACATATTTTAGAACCATCCTGTATGTATGTTACACAATATTAAGTATTATTACAGCAAATTCAAAATAGAAAGAATTCAAAACTAATATTTTGATAATAAACAGTAGAGTTAACTATAATAAACAAACTTAAAAGTTATTTACAACAATAGAGATCCTCAATCTACATTGTATTGTGCTGCGGTATGACTAAAACCAACCTAACCAGTCGTCTAAATAGTGAAGGCCCGTCTGGCTGACCGTGGACTTAGTAGCGATCGCTACTAAAGAGCACCACGGACATTATTTACAGTAATTGAAATAATATAAATATTCCAATAACATAAAAAAAATATCAGTAAATACAGTACGACACAATAGTCTTACAACAATAGTCACAGTGGACAGAGACAGTCAAATCACAGAAGCAATACTCAAAGAAATTGTGCCGTATTATGCTGCAAAACATATATGACTCTTGAAAGTAATGACCAATTTTATGATTGCATGTCGGGTTTTATAGCGCTAGAAGGATAGAAATGATGAAATCTATATATATAAAAGAAAGTCGTGTTAGTTACTCCACTTATAACTCAAGAACGGCTGAACCGATTTAGCTGAAAATTGTCAGGGAGGTAGTTTAGAGCCAGGAAAAGGACATAGGATACTTTTTATCCCGTTCGAAATAAAAAAAGTCTGCTTATTTATTGCCATTAAGGCGGAACAAAGTTCGCCGGGTCAGCTAGTATAATATAATTTTAAAACATCTGAGTATTTACATAGTCTGATGTAGAGTTAAAAGTATTCACAACTTTGCGCATACTCTAACTAACTGATAGACGGTGTCCGTGGCACAGCGGATATTACGTATAAAACTTTCAACATTTCCCTATTCAAAAGTAGAAAAACACATAATAAAAACATTTCATTCAAAGAATTTACATTAATCATTCTTGAACTATGAACTAACAACGATTTGTGTTGGCATTTTACAATACAGTGAAAATAAACATAAGAAGAACTAATAATCTCCCGACCGGCACTTGGTTGAAATTTACTCAAAGCAAACTCTTTATTCTTCTTATTTTTACCGTGGACAAAAGCTGTTTATTTACGGATGTTACTTGCAAGTGACAGCTTAAGCCTTGTATCTGTCACCGTAAAATTGTGAATTCCGTTAGATTATAATCTGACGTAGTTAAATTACAATCTAACCTAACCTAACCCACTGTTAGGTTAATTAGTGGATCAACCAAATGAATCGTTCATTCGCCTGGGCATGCTCAAATGGCGACTGACTGATGACACTGATCATAGATAAATAGAGTTATTCAATAACTGTTATTGATGTATTTATTTATACCATTCGAAGCATTATTAGTTATTCTTATGTATCAAGTTAAAATACTGGTAGATCTCAATATTGTACTTTCAACAATATAATAATGTATTGATAAATAAGATTCTCTATACCAACTTCTATATTGTACAATCATACAAAAAGTCTCGAAATTGTCGTTATATTTAACGTCTAGTCATTTGACAACAGTAAACTGCTCTGTATTACGTTCCTTTCTTATACTTGGTCAATTTATTGCTTGATGATAATTTATTTTATTAGGCCACATTAAGGAAATGATGGATCACACAAATAATATTAAGTAATTCATAAGAAGCTGTCGCTCGTCGAAGCATAAGCAAGCGCCAGACAGTGTAAGTAGTTCTACCAACGAATTCTGTACAATTGGCTTCAAACAAGCTGATAAAAATGTTTGACTTATCTCTTTCACTCGGATACTATGTGTATGAGTAAGAGATCGATAGGACTGTAATATACACAAATAAAATGTAGATTAAATTTCAAGACGGTTTCTTAGAAAATTATAGCACTAATAAAATTTAAGTGGCATCGGCTTATTTGAAGCAAACTATAATTGACATAAAACTGTCACATGACTTTTAACTCTAGACAGCTTATCACTGTTGGCCTAAGATGCGCGCCGTGATAATTTTTATCGACGTCAATTTGTATGGGAAAAATCGATAAAATAGCGTGATAACGGCCTATCACGGCGCGCATCTTAGGCCTACTGGAGTCGTCAGTTACTAGTCCCCTAGTCTGATAGCTCATATGGATGCAGTAGACCAAACCCAGATCATAAAGATGTTGCAATAAAAAGTAAAAAAATTGTAGGTACCGGCAATGATTAGCAGCCAAGCAAAGCTGTAAAACCAAACCATAAGACCGGGTAAAGAGATCTGGGTCATTTACGTAAGGGCGTGTAATAGACATAAACCGCCCCGTAGGTAGTCAGCGTCAAATAGTTCGTTCGTTACACCCAAAGCGGCCAAAAAGTTGACAACAACCTTATTCCAGTAGCAAAGACGTGTTACGAACTTATTGGCTACTTTGGGTGTCACGAACTATTTGACGCTGACTGTACGCGCAGATTAATAACTATGGGAACTTCATGATGCCACGAGTCAATGAGGGTTTTCGCGAATGAAAGATCCGCTAGATGGCGGGACGTGGATGTGGGGTCTGACTGCTGCGTGATTGGTGGATTTTGACATATGTGTCAATGTCATGTCAAAAATAACCAATCATGCAGCATTTGGACCTCGCGTCTACATATTGCCATCTGGCGGATTTTTCATTGGCGAAAACCCTCATTGACAGCACCCATCTACAATCTACATAATATACTGCCTTATGTATTGTGCCCTAAAATTAATATGGTACCCATTTTACGATACTAGACACTGTCAACTTTTATAACCACCGTTTTTATTTTATTACTCAGTTTGGTACAAAAATAACAACTGTCAGAGCAGCTGATTCGCCTTAGGGAGTATTAATATCCATCACCACGTTGCCATTTAAAAATAACAAAATTTAATTGTGATACGAGTTTCTCAATCGCAATCCCGTTTTAGTCCGCACGTCTAAAGCTCGCACAAAATTAACAATTATCCTGTCCCGTTTTGTAAAAAATATGTTTTTTAAATGCTAATACGTCGTATAATAAAATACAAAAACAAGTAGATATACATACAGCACTTATTTCACAGGTATCGTGTGGGAGGGGGGGAAGGGATGGAGGGGTGGTGGGGTTACATGTGCCTGCCCAGCACTTGCCGCAGCTTCCGCTCCCACGCCTCCGCCTCCGCCCACGCGTGTCTTACGTCGCGGAATAACTGGAACACCACACGAATAATATTACGCAACTGACACATCACGCAACTAAAATATATAAAATCACAGAAATTGTATTACAATTCCTGTTCTAGTCTTTTCTTTGAGCACTATATACAAGGTGGAAACGATAAGTGATCTTACTCGATTATTTCTAAACTACACAAGATATCGAAAAAACTGGTTACTGATCCTGAAAGTGTTCCACGAGCACTATCAAACGGTAAATAGGTTACAAAATAAACCAGCTTCCATACATTTAGTAACACACACATACTATTTCGTCGTTTCCACCCTGTATAGTGCCATTTATAAAGGCATAAGTAAGAAAAACTTACGAACGATATTTAACAAACTGATTTATCGTGCATATGCATGCATATTGATCAAGTGAAAATATCGACGTGCAAACTTATGAAATAATTTTCTACCAGAATGAAAACGTAGTAAACTCACTTGTGATAGCCAGACTTCGTCTGCCAATAATTCGTTAAGGATTACTGTGGTGTCTTTACTGGGGTTCTGCATTCTCTTCTCGGCGACTCTTTTACTGCACTCCGCATACATAAGGTACTTCTGATGTGATATTCTTGAGTATAACTGTACCCTTCCACAACACGATGCACACACTAAGAATTCCTGTAAGCAAATAATGGTTTCATTATTTTCTAGTCCTTCAGGTAGGTTTCCTTTCATTTGATAAATAAACGTCACACATCTAATCAGATTGGTCCAGCAAATCGCAAGCGTAAAAAGGTTTTAAAGGTGTGTTTCACTTTGAGATATACGCCCCTAGAGTAATATATCTTAAGCCACGCCCATTTATGGCACACTGCACGGGATCCAACGATACGAAGTGTACAATAACGGGCCACAATTAGCAACGTCGTCTCTAGCCTTGTCTAACGAGCGCGCTTTTAGCCACGCCCACTTTTGGCACACTACAACTGTAAAGGTGCTAACGTTACGAGGTACAGGGCGTCGTCTCGACTCGTTTCACCAGACTTTTCTGCTGGAAAAATCTTAAAAAGATCGAGTGAGTATTGAGTTACACTAACCTTCTCATACGCCAATCTCGAGTCCGGCTGTACCGGTTCCAACGTAGCTGGGTTGTAAGGCTGTCCGTAGAGTAACAGCCTCGCTACAGCGGCTACGCTGAACCCAGGCCACGTGCCTACAGCCGCTTCTAGAGAGTGGGCGTTGGAGTACGCCTACAACAGTGTGTCTTACCTTTAGCCACGCCCATTTCTGACACATTGGAACTGAGAAGACTCGTTACTCGATTCGACACCTTTGTCTCGTTCGCGTCTAGCGAGTGGGCGTTAGAGTACGCCTTAAAAGTGTCTTACTTTAAGCCACGCCCACTTCTGGCTGACTGGTTCGTTTCGTTGCAACGAGTAGACATCACATGCGCCTGCGTCGTATCAAGTCTTCTGCTTGGAATATTAGCAAGGTTTCTAGGCGCGTCACTGACCTTTTCATACGCCAATCTCGCGTCCGGCTGCACCGGCTCTAACGTAGCTGGGTTATAAGGCTGTCCATAGAGTAACAGCCTCGCTACCGCCGCTCTTGAGCAGGCGCGACACACGCCAGCACCAGCGGCTACGCTGAGCCCAGGCCACGTGCCTACAGCTGCGTCTACGCCCACTGGGGCGTTAGAGAACGCCTTTAACAGTGTCTTACCTTTAGCCACGCCCTCTTCTGGCTGACTGGTTCGTTTCGTTGTAACGAGTAGACATCACATGCGCCTGCGTCGTATCGAGTCTTCTGCTGGAATATTAGCAAGGTGTCTATGCGCGTGTCTGACCTTTTCGTACGCCAATCTCGCGTCTGGTTGCACAGGCTCCAACGTAGCAGGGTTGTAAGGCTGCCCGTAAAGCAACAGCCTCACCACAGCTGCTCGCGAGCAGGCGCGACACACGCCAGCACCAGCGGCTACGCTGAGCCCAGGCCACGTGCCTACAGCCGCGTCAAGAGAGTGGGCGTTGGAGTACGCCTTTAACAGTGTGTCTTACTTTTAGCCACGCCCATTTTTAGCTGACTGGTCCGTTTCGTTGCATCGAGTNAACAGCCTCGCCACAGCTGCTCGCGAGCAGGCGCGACACACGCCAGCGCCAGCGGCTACGCTGAGCCCAGGCCACGTGCCTACAGCGGCGTCTAGCGAGCGCGCGCCGCCTCCCGCCGCGGTGGCGCCGCCCGCGCTGCAAGATACGCGCGCTCGCATCGTCTCCGTTACTTCGTCGACCGTTTTGACGTTCGATAGGAAGTACTCGTCTGGAAATAAGCATTTTTATTTTTCAATGTATTTTTTTCGTTTATGGCCAGTTCTGGGATATTACGGCCCACAGAGTGACCTCCCAATGAATTCCGCCAGTCTCTAATTTTGACAGTCCTCCCAGGTTGTCTCAAAATTAGCACGTCACATTGACATCGGAGGCAGAAGAGCTCCGATGTCACTGTGATATACAAATTTTTGGACAGCCTGTATAATACCTGAATTAATCAATAATATTACTATAAAATGAAATTGTAGTCTTTAACTCCAGCTCTAACAGAAAGATTTGCATGATAATCTAAGATGTACTTATAGTAAATATTAAAATATTAACACATCTTACCTTGTTCTTGAAATATTTCAGTAAGAAAATTGGGGTCCAGTGCATGGGAAATCAAAGTCTGTATGTAGACTTCGAAATTTTCCTGGTACATTTGAGTTTCTAACATTCTTTTTTCTATAAAACTACAATCGTCAAATGGCAGTTCACTCCTAACTAATTCTACTATTGTTTCCAAATGAGATTGTGTACGCACTTTCACTGGAACTTGAGTGTACAACTTTTTATTTTCAGGATTCCATGCTGCATACTGTGGAGGAAAGTTATAAAATATTGCAAAAATTCATCAACAATGAACATAAAACAATGAACATAAAATAAATAAATAAATACATTATGTGTTAGTAATAAACTACTCACCGTAGAAATATTTCTGTACAAAACTTTACCGTTTTCTTCAAAAGGCTCATACTTTTGTAACAACGTCTTACCATCTACTCGCCAAATAGCTGGCCACATTTCATTAAGTTCACTTTTTATTGCCACGAATTCACCAGACTGTAAAAATAGTGTACATATTCATACAACGTTTACAAGGAAATTATTTGATACTTCTCGATCGCTATTTATAGTAGATATGCGAACGAGAGCTGCTGTACCCTGAGCACTAAATATCGTTTTCGTTAGGTTATGGTAATCAGTTTTTTTGTATGAAACACGATTGCCACTACGGTTGTATAAGGAATATAATAAATAATAATAATCTTTGGACAATTTCACACAGCGCCAGCTAGCCCCAAAGTAAGCAACTCAATGCTTGTGTTATGGGTGCTAACTTAACGGATATACTACTTATAAATATACTTTTTTTTTATTAAATACATACATATCATACATATTTATACCCAGACCCGTCACAGAAATTAAAATTCATCATTTCAATTTCTGCCCGGCCGGGAATCGAACCAGGGACCTCTCGGCATAGTAGTCCGTTCTGAACCACTACACCAAACGGCCGACGAACGAATACGATTGCTATACGACTGCGGGTGTAATCGTGCTCAGGGTACTGTTAGCTATTATTTAAAGCTCACGTAGAAACTAATGGTTTACCTATTTTTTTCTTTATTTGTATGTAGGCTTTATTTGACACTATGCAATCATTTAGCTTACCAGTGCGAAAAAAATGTATAGGAATGCGTATACGATTTGTGCAATTTAGTATCGTATTGCATTTTAATAATGTCGTATGCAAATAAGAATTTTAATGGTTCAAAAATGTGTGTCTGGCAAAAACTGTAGGTATCCAAAGCTGCACAAAAATCAGTAATAATTAGAACCCTAAAGTAGACGAAGTGTGCGATTACACTGTCCTTTCGTTAGAGGGCTCTGTTCTGTACTATGCAGTTACCTTTTGTAGAACTAGCTAAATGCTTCCTCCAAGGTCAAGAAATGTGACTCAGGCATTCGCCCTTTACTGTGATATTTACCTGATAAGGCATTTCTTCTATTGGTCTATTGTTGTCAATTTGACCCGCATTGGAGATTTGCTGATGAGATTTTATGTGTTGCAACTTTCTGCTGGCGTTTTCGTTGTCCGTTCCGTAGATGCCATAGCCCAAGCTCGCCGCGTGTGCAGAAACTATAAATTATAAGCTTTTATTTAGTTCGAATTCAAAAATATCAATTTCAAAACGCATTTTTACTATTCCATCACCACCCACCTACTATTTGTTTTGTAGAGACTAATTGTTATGTATTATTCGATTTCTACAGTAAGTTTTAAAAAAATTTACTGCACCTTTGGTGGTTTAGATTATTCAATTTAAAAAAAAACAAAATAATAGAAGGTGGGGTGGTTCAGAGGCTATAAAGTTGCATTATATTTACCTGGTATATCTCACAATAGTATTGTTCATACTGTGTAATGATACTAAAGGTGGGAAAGGTTGGGATTGGGAGGCCAAATGATGAACTTGTCATCATCATCATTGCGATAACATGTACACAATACAGACAAATATTTTTCAAAGTGGTTTCAAGATTATTACTGAATAAATTTAAACAAGATATTTTACATATTAATACAATGTACATGTTATCCCTATGTCGGCGAAATGAGGGGTGCTACCAGGAATAATTACAAATTAAAATTATTTAACACATCATCAGTAATATACTCGTGTTTATTTTAGGTCTCCTCCTATTATACAAAATTATTTACATAAAATATTGAGAATTGTGCATAAACAAATAACAATTAAATAGAAATACAAAAAAAACTTATGTTCAGGGCATGGCCATCTAATACATTATTTTGCACTTACTTGTAGCTGTCATATTATTATGCAATTCATTTCCTCCTTATAATATAAAAATCACTTTCAGCTAAAGAATATGCATACACTATAGTAAGTACCTCCTAAACTCAAATACTGTAAAATACAATACAATATATTTATATATACAACAGACACCCACTGGTATTAATTCCATAAAAAAATATACCACAATTTTGGAATTATTAATGGTAGCACCCCTTCAATAGCGAGTATGACAAGAGTCACAAATACTACAATTTACAATAAAATGGCACTAATAATGTGTCATTAACAACAATGTGAGTGAAATCTTGTTACAGACTAACCCTAAAATATCAACCTCTACTAAGATAGGTACATCACATTTTCTTCATAGAAATTATTTACAAATTAATAATCATAGATTTCATCTAATAAAAAATTTACATTATCACAGTTAAAATGTAACAAGTTTTCACGGCACTGCCTAAGCGGCAGCTAGCTTGCTCCTGTCATACAAGCTTCAGGGCTAGCTCTTCACCATCGCGCTCTACTTCTTAAGTGGAAATCTAATAAATTGAACGCACCTTCGTCAGGCTGATGTTGGTAATAGTATTGTTGCTGTGGCGCTGCCTGCAGCGAGGCCACGGGCGGCGGCGCAGGCGGTCGTGGCTTCTTAGGCGCGGCCGGCTGAGGCGCTACGACGGCCGACGGCGTCGGCTTGTTCATTGTCGTCCGGCCCTTCTTGCCTTTGTCGTTCAAAGGCGTACTAGGCACGTTAAGGACAGGCTTGTTCAGCCTTCTCGCTTCCTCCTCTGCGTCATAGGCAGACTCGTCGCTACCGTCGTATTTACGTTTTCTATCCTTATTCAAATTATAATAACGCGGATCGTCCAACTCTACACCTTTCGATTGTGAACCGAGTAGATTAGCCGCACCATGTAATTGGTTAGCACCCAACAAGCCTGCTGAACTCATATTTGAACTCATAGGATTGCTCAACGGCATACCCGAGTTTAAAACATTAGGCGAGCCCATGGCGCCATTAGAACTTTGCTGCGAATCACACTTATTGTGATCGTTTTGCGAGTACGGTTTATTATTTGTATTGCTATTGGTGTTTGTTCTCGACCAAGTCGACTTTCTGGCGCCTCTGCCGGCCGGCGGTGGAGATGTATCCCGCTCTCCTTGAAGGAATTTCAAATAAGAAGCCATGAACCCTGAACCGGGGCCCGTGACTGGGACATTGAATTTTTTTTCCATTATTTTTGAAGTAGTGTCTTGTGAAGTGCTGTTTATGTTCGGCTGCTGTGAAGTGGGTGCTACCGAAGATGCCGTATTTGCCCGTTGTTCTGCAAGGAAACCAAGTTCTTCCTCTATATTAGGTACTACCACCTTAGGCTGTTCCTCTTCACGTGTTTCAGGCGTAGAAAAAGATGACGAGGAAGCCGAAGGTGGTGTCTCACTAAATGACGAAAGTGGTGTTAACTCCACGGAAGACTGGAAATCAGGATGGGGTCCTAGATGAAAGGGCGGGAAATATGTTAGTGCATGTCCATGAGGCATAGCTAATTGGTGTTGGTTGGCGAAGTTCGTGGCGTGTAAGGAAGCTTGGGACCCAAAAGCAGATGTGCCAGGAAACATTTTGGGTGGAGGAGGTGGAAGGTTCCATCTTTCAAAATCAAAATAGCTACCATTTTGCTGTTGATTACTGGTTGAGCTATGTGCTGGAGGAGGTATCCTATTTGCCAAGTAATCTGCCATTACAGCATTTGATATCTCATTCATGTTTGAATGAGAAACCGGTTTTTCTGTGCTCTTTCGCCGCGGAATCGATTTACTTGATGAAGGGGTGGTTGGATTTTGACTCTTAGTAGTTTTTGCTTCTTGTAATTGACAACTTTGTTGTAAACTTTGTAAATTTTTCACTATTGTCATGGGATCACCTCGACAGCTAGATAGATCTTGTAAAGCAACATTGTTAGCATCAAAATAAGTATGGGGTTTATCAGTTAAGTTCAGTCTATGGGTTGATGATTGACTCTGAGGGGCAGGTTCTTCAGCATGAGTATTTTCAGGCAGACTCGTGCCATTATTGTAACTGTTAGTACTGCTATTACTAGTATATTTTCTGGATGACTGACGGTCATTTTCCCAGCAGCTTGAATTGGAAGATTGAGTTTGGTTGCGCTCATACCTATTTTCAGAATAATTTTTACTCTGTTCAATACCAAGAGCTCTGGTTATAACAGAGGGGTATGCCACTTGACTGTTCTGTGACGGCGGCCGAGTAACAGACGCGTCAAGTGGCGATCGCGGAGCTGTGCTGTTAGCTTTGTTATAGTGATCCCCATGTTGCTGGGGAGAATTTATAGAATTCATTGGACTATGATACATAGGATAAGCAGGACTAGACCCATGGCCCAATGGTGATGTCTGGGCAGGAGCTTGTGAAGGACTATTCCTTCTAGCAACTACTACCCCACAATCGGGACCATTTTGAGAACTGCTACTTGAATAGCCAGTATCTGTACTAGAACTACTTTTTGCTCTTACATGGTAATCTGTCTCAACATTATTGCCACTCTGATAATGTCTAAAGCTAGACCCTTGAGTAGTGTATTGTGAGCTGCCAATTCTGTTTGATTTAGAGGAGCTACCACTACTATAACTTAATCTTCCAGGTGCATCCATTATAGAATAACTTATGGGAGAAGATTGGGGTTGCAGTTTATCATTTGATTCACAACTCTTTCTTTGATCATTACTTAATTCTGGATAAATTTTGCTTTGTGCTTTAGTTTGCACTTGGGGAGGTTTAGATGTAGGAGAAACAAAACTACTGGTACTAGTACTGCTAGTAGGGGGGCGTGTTGTTTTTTCACTACTTGTGCTTTTGGGAGACTGGGAATTGTATATTGATGAAGAAGGTCTGGAAGTTATACTGGAGGAAGGTCGGTAATCTTTGCTGGGAGGAGTAGAGGATGATGTCACAGGTGGAGTTGACACAATACACGATTGTTGGGAATGAGCAGTTGTACTTGCAGAACTTGAATATGACTTACTTCCAGCATAATCCTGCTGCGATGAAAGTTGACCACTCTTTGCACTGCTTGTACTATATGAATTATCAGTCTGATTTCCAAATGATGACGGAGATTGAAAAAATGTTGATGATGATGTTGACGATGCTGGCTGTTTCGATGCAGTCGCTGGTGAGCCAGACCTATTGCTCTGTTTAGCTGCACTAGAAATCTGGGAGTTAAGATGATTATTTAAAGTCTGAGCTGCAGCAAAGTTAAAGTTTTCGTATGATGATGAAGCTTTTGTTGTTGCTGGGCTCGGTGAAGACGGCACAACACTTTCGTGAGGTAATATTCCAAAAGGACTTGGAAGTTGATTGTTTCCTTGCCAACTTAATCCAGCTGTACTGCCAGGGGTTGATGGCTGGTCAAAAAAGGAAGTTCCTTGTGCAGCTAGTGTTTGATGGGAGTAATTTTCCCTTAGAGAAGATAGCTCTGTTTCTACTGAAGATTGCTTAGATGCAGCCGCAGCTTGTGCTATTACTTGTCGATGTTGTGCCTGAAGAGACGAACTGTAATGCGCAGGTTTTGGGTTGGCATGATGAAACAATGGTGAGAACACAGCATCATAGCCCACGGCAGGTGGAGAAAGGAATCCCCCTGGATTGAAGGGCGATGCAGTTGATGAGCCAAGCTGTCCTGCTAACGATGCTGTAGTATGTGCAGCTTGTAGCAGCAGTTGGCTTGTGGTAGACGGCACTGACTGGCTGCCTAATCCTGAGCCACCACTTGCAAGGTGGTGATGGAAATCCCCACTCGCAGCACCAGCCTGGACCCCTGCTAGCCGATTGTAAGAAGCATATGCTGACCATGGTCCTACTGGATCCATTACCACCTCCGTGATGTGATGTTTAGTGTCAATGTATGTATTATGTCAATAGTCCACACTTTCATCCATAGTTTGTACACATGAAATCTATTGTATTACCACTAAATCCGAGCACTAATAGTCATCTTGACTTTGTTATTCGATCTTCACTGACAGAAAACACCCCTGAAAAGAATAGAGGACATTAGCAATTACAGAACAATACATCAATAAAATGATCTTATTGGAAATGCTCAAATACTGAAGAATATCTAAAATATCGTCACTTTCATTAAAACATCTGTCATAAATAAAGAAAAACATTATTTTTAGAGAGACATCAACACTGCAACCATGTATTGATATAAAAATACCGCCGCTTCGCCATGGAAGCGTCAAGGGGCATGGAACAATACAGCGAATCGTTTTGTACAAATAGTTATTTCTAAGACTGCATTTGTGTAAAGAAACATACCATCGCCTTTAGTTTCAACAATTATTTATCAATGTGGTTTCAGGGGACGCTCACACGACAGATAACATCATAAATATGGCCTCGCTAGGACTCTTCGAGTGGTCGCTGCGACGGGTTTTGTCTATTGTGAAACGAAACTCCACTCAAGTCTTGTGATACAAACAACAGTCCACTTTGTTCTTAACACTTTGTTAATATTATTGCTACGTTTCTGTAAGGTTATCAATGTTAAAAGGTACCGATTACTTTATTTACAAGTAGAAATACGACAACGTTTCGCCTTTCACATTAATCGCCGCCATCTTACTTGTCGAATGTCTGTCGGTCGAACAACCGCACACAACAAGCGAAACAGCGCCATCTAGATTGGTATTTTTAATAAAAAAAAATATAAATTTAACGATATTCGTAAACATAATCGGATTTTTTCAAACATTTTAAAACAACAAAAACGTCTATTTTTTCCCAATTAATTTGTTCTCTGCAACAACAAATAAAAATAAGCATAAAACAAACAATAACAGTAATAACGTTATTGTTAAAATAACGATACATAATAACGTTTTTAGGTTAAGTTCAATTTCCTCCTAACTAAACTAACTTTTGAATTTAACTAAATCAAAAAAGAAGAGAACCAAAGAGTAAAGTAATTACTTCGGAGAACTCAGAAAAAATCGCAAGGGAAGAAAGGTGAACTTTGCAATTTATCTTCAATGGCCTATTTTTGGCATTAGCATTATTTATGCTAGGTACTGATTCTGCTTCAAGTCACATTTTCCAAGTTCCGCTAGCAAGCTGGCTCTAACTACTACACGGTACAGACTCCATGCAAACATTTTTTTCCTAATAACCCAACGCCAGCGTATCGCTGTTTAAGCGGTTTGAGGAACGAGATAAAACCTGTTCCTATTTTTCATTCGGGCGACCCCGCCCCTCACAGTCACTGCGTACCTAATGGTGTTGGTGGCTGGCTGGTGGCTTTAACCACCATTCAAACCGTTGTTTGTGTGCAACCAAACTTGCTAATGATACTAGGGCAATAATGGTACAGGAGTAGGTACAACAACATGTATGATAATTATTGTATTTCAACTCCTTACTCCTAGCCATTCGCGTTCCCAGACAGGGCTCGTATATTGAACCTACCTACTCATAAAAGTGATTTTGTTTTCGGCTCAATCCGTTATTCGTAATTTTTGCTTGGTATTAATGAATGAAAGAGACAAAGACGTGAAAAAGAGCACTAACGACTTTTTGAGGGATGCGTCATGTTTCGAGTTCATTGTCTTGTCCCTCACGATTCAGAACATTAATCCAGCGGTACGGCGGGGTTCGAACCCACGTTCCTCAGATCTAGATTTGGCCAGTCCGACATCGACACCATTGGGCTTGTCACTTCGGAATCTTAGAACGGTCCTAAGGTTAATTGGGAGAGAATGCCATATGGCATTAAGTTCGTCTTTTGTATCCTATTCTACGCACAGATTAGAGTATTCTACGTGCAAATAAAATATCTGTGAAAGTTTGTGATGGATTTATTACTCTTTCACGTAAAAACTACTGAATGGATTTTGATGAAATTTGGAATAGAAATGAAAGGGAAACACATAGGATAGGAAACCAACCAATCTCTAGAGCTCAATCATTTATTAGTAGTAGGTTAATCTCTCTCGGCAATACAAAACTAGAATATCATGTCAGTAGCTATTATTAGTCGGTTATTTTCGAATTAAAAGATTTTATAATGGATAAAATTTTTATTGGACACATTTTTATCAGTTATACAATGCATGTATAGAAATAATGATTTATGTACAAAATAACACATGATTCATCTTTGGTATTAGGTATTTATATGCGTTGGAATAATTTGTAATTTTACAGGAAGACTTTCGAAAAAAATACCTACCTATTTTTCTACATAACATTTTAAACAAATAAGTAAGTAGTTTAATGAAATTAGTTTATTTTTATAAATTAAATTTAATTACTTTTTAGCGAGATGTTGTAGAATAGATACTAACAACAAAATAAGTAGTTCATGATATGATTAAGAATTGAGTAAATAGTAGGTAAGTAATTCTTTTAATTATTATTTCCAACTGAATTTAAAATTAAAATGATTTATTATCTCTGAAAGAATAAAGGAAGTTACAATACCGATATTTAACACGGTACGTTTTCATATCTAATCCTTTTTTTGCATATTCTATTGTCTGAACTGTAACCTTATGCATTACAAATGAATGAAGCATATTACATTTACTACCGTCAACCTTTACAAGTAACTTATGCGTCGTGAAAAGAGCATACAAGTACGCAACTTGAAGGTTTTACCCTACTGAATGCGTTCGGCGTATGCGGTCAGGTCAATAAGCCAAAGTAAACACAGCCCACATTATGTATATGAACAACTTTGTTGATCAGGGCAATCGGCAAGACGACCGGACCCCAGAACGCATCCAGTGTGACAAATTAAGATCTGGACCGTGTTAATAAAACACATTTTTCGTCAGCTGTCTTTACGAACAGTGTTTCTACTTTCTACGACTAATTTGATATTATAAATGTTTCTTGTATTGCACGCATCTTTTGTTTAATTCAGCTAATGGACGCGGAGACCAACAGCTTGGGGTTTCAGAAATAATATGCGTCGTTCTTATTAAACCGAAAATAATTCATTATAATCATAAATGATTCCATGATAACATGAGATTTTATACGGTGGAAATTAGAACCGCACGGTTGTTTTCCTTCTATGCTAATTTCATACTTATAATATGAGACAGCATGTTTTTGGCACAAGAACTTTTCACTTTGGACGATCGGTATAAAAATAAGCATACAAAAGCGCAGGCCACACTATGTCCCAAAGTAGTTTTAGGGATTCGTACTGTACGTACTTGGCCGGTACATTTTATTGTTTCTCGCCACCCACGCGCCCCTTCCTCAAACTGTTTTCAAGAAAACGAGTGTTGGACGTTAGTATTTGCAAAAATTCTGGGCCCACTCTATAATAAACTTACGTAAGCACAATTGCAACCAGTCTATGCAGCAACGTTCGGTGTATCCCGGTCGTAATCCCATGCTTCCCCGTTCCCCCGACTATATTCAGTTTTATAGTTCGTAGTGTAGCCTGCGCTTGAGACAGATCTATCGATAGTGCAGCCATCAAACGGCAATCTTTTAACTTGTGTCACATACAGAACTTGAAGTTGTAGCGAGCTATTNGCATCTCATTACGAATGGTAACGGTAAGAATATAAAGTATGCACATTCGACACAAGTAACATTTCGATATCGCTCTATTGAAGCAATAAAATTAACACTTTTGTGTTTGTATATCATTCTGTATGATTCGCCAATGAAAATTTCAACAAATGACCAGTTTTTTATGCATTATTATCTGTGCTCTACTCCGTCCCCCGTACAGACCTCGTACNTAGCTATTTATTTCCATTTGGCATACATACAACTAGGGTTGCCAGGTCCAAAAACACAAAAGCCGGACTCTGTGCTTCATTTGGCCGGACATTTTACCCTAAAAGCCGGACAATTAGTGAGCTCACAAGTGAGTACTATCATCATCGGTTGCCTAACGTCCTGATGCGTGCGTGCCTTATTCTGTGGCTCGACTTTCGCCTGGCGCAGCAGCCATATAAAAAGCCTAACAAAAGCCGGACATGCCGGACATCGGTTATTTTGGCCGGACACGCAATCAAAAAGCCTAACTATGTCCGGCTTTATCCGGACGCCTGGCAACCCTACATACAACAATGAAATAGGACGGCTAAAATTCTAAACAACCATCAATGTAAGAAAGATTCTAACAATTTTAAGACAATTATTACAATCAAAGTGCAAAATCAATGATAATTGAGATACAGACAGACGTGCTACAAAAAAGCTTTTTTTATAAGTTTGTTAATTTTAGAGTAACTTTAATGTGAACTCTATACTGGACATTGAATATTTAAAATCAATTGACTATGCTAAAATATTTAACTAAATGCTAAACATTGTAAGTTTCACGAAAGATATTGTATGCTTACATAACTATTGTGAAAATGTGCATTAAGTAGATGATTGACATCGAAACCTAATAAACAATCACTGGAGTGCGTTTCTACTGGAAAATATAAATATCACTTTTAAGTAATTAATCGATGTTCGATCATATTAATTAAAACTATTCGAAGACTTTTTTACATGTCATGTTGTGGGGCTCGAATTGACAGTGTTATAAATGCTGCACATTTACCTATATTACAATAAAGATTAAGTATACAGTGAAAATGTTCATAATATTATATAAAATAACATGCACCACCATGCATTCATCATAAAAAATAAGTTAACATTATGCCACATGCACCACCATAAATAATCTTTGGGTTTAACTGGCAAGAAAATAAAAACAACAATCACATTTAAAACTTAAAAATAAAAAAGCTAGGTACACAAAAATCAGACCCTGATAAATAATATCAATTTCATAAGTTTGGTAGTACTAGCACAAATAGCCTAAAGTACGAATGGAAACATACATTCACAAGCACACGCTATAGCATGCTTAATTAAGCATGCTCTGAAACAAATGACGTAATCACAATTAATTCAACAAAAATAACTAAACAACACCTCATTGATACCTACGCTGATAGCATTTACGCAATACAGATGTTTTTGCATATCGTGCACAAATAAAGCGTTGATTCTATTTTAAAAATGCAGCAACATTTCCTTCAACCGACAAACGTAAAAATATATGTGTTACGGCTAAAGATAGTTGTAAACATAAACTTAAGATTAGCCGGCTAAACTTAAGTTTATCTTCGAGAAGCAGCTAAAGTTCGATACCATGTCAGTTTGCGTCGTGATATTCCATCTTTAGCCGGCTAATGTGCACATTATCCAAAACGAAACGGCTAAAAATGTATTCGATGGGCGCGCCAGGCCGGCGGACGGAGGGCTTGAGGGGGCGGTGGGGAGACAACGCGCGCGCAGTTTTATTTTGTAATTTTAAATACCTACAGAAGATTCTGTAATGACCAAATGGTTCCATATTATTTTACTTTAATGATTAGGTAGATATTGTTTTAAGTAATTAATATTTTCTTATTGTAATAATTGTAATTTTGAATACCTACATAGGTAGATAAAAGTATGTGTAATGAAAATGATTATTTTTTAATAAAGTTTTCGTGTCAAAATAGTAAACTTTATTACATTGTTTCCTTTTCCATTTCCTTCTACATTTTTAGCCAAGGGCCTGCGGTTACACTTAAGTTTAGCCGGCTAAAGATAGAAGAAACTAACATTAACACCTCGTCGAAGATAAACTTAAGTTTAGCCGGCTTATCTTAAGTTTATGTTCACACCTATCTTTAGCCGTAACATATGCATCTCATTACGAATGGTAACGGTAAGAATATAAAGTATGCACATTCGACACAAGTAACATTTCGATATCGCTCTATTGAAGCAATAAAATTAACACTTTTGTGTTTGTATATCATTCTGTATGATTCGCCAATGAAAATTTCAACAAATGACCAGTTTTTTATGCATTATTATCTGTGCTCTACTCCGTCCCCCGTACAGACCTCGTACCTCATCCCTCAACACCCCACTCCAATAAGATTTGAAATTTCCATTGTCCAATTATTCACTTCCATTAATGTTATTCCTTTTCCAAAACTAATAATATCTATCAAATGAGTGTATCTTTGAGTATTACACATTTTTATCTTAAAACTAAGAACTTTTTTTTATTATGCAGGATGGAAACTACAGAGAAAACTTCATGTAACATGACCAAGTGATTGAAATGAAACAAACTACGTTTACACTATTTGTCTTGTCTTATTCTGCCTTAGTTTTTAGTTTACTGTATTATTCGTTATAAAGGGATCTTGTGGTAAATAAATGTGTTATCTGTTGACATTTCGTAAATTATGATTCATTTCAATCAGGTTCGCGTAAATCTAAGAATAAGACCTAAATTGGTTTAACCATTGATTTATGCTATGTCATATTCTAAATAAAATTTCTTTGTCTACAGCTATTATATTTAAAAGGGCAAGGAATCAGTTATTCCATGATTTCTGTACACATACGAGTATTATAGGTTCGTTCTAACGAGACCAATTTTAATTAATGAAATGCATAGACAAATGACGCAGTTTGAACCACGCATTTATCTCAGAATGGACTCCTAATCAAAAGTTGACAGTATTATAATTTGCAGTCAGTCGAGATTCAAAATGGCAAATATAAATTTCACTAAGTAAGTATATTAAATAAGTAATTTCATATTATGTCGAGTAACACAAAATAATCAGATATTGTTGCCTTTCCAGGATCATTTGTCTGTCATGACAATGTTTTTAAAGTTGTTGTAACTTTAGAAGTAAATAAGTTTAATAAAATGATATGATCAATTATTGCATTGTCTTATAAAGAAAAGCATTTAGTTTTGAACATATTATACATGAGAACTTGTTACTCGACGTTTATAAATAGTGTAAGAACTGCTTCAAAAATACCCGCGTCTGTATTGATGTTATGACATGGGTGTTAAAACTTACCTACATTTGGCATATCTAACCACATTTACTGAATGTTTAAATGCCTTGAGTGAGTGAGTTTTCTAGCACGATATCGAATTCGTCCAAAGGCTCGAGGATCTGCCTGAGGAATGTGAGAAGTCCGCGTTTGCGAAGGAAACTCTGTTCTTCGTACATCTCGGTGGTTACCCGCGTCATCGACATTGGAACCAGCATTCTGTGCAGCCAGTGTTCACTAGAAAAGAAAAAAGTTTTCATCCTAAAACTAGCGACATTTTAAAGTTCGTATGTATTTTGAAACGTCATTGAAAACTTGAATCTGCTCGTATTTTTGAACGTGGTTTAATAAAGAAGGTATCATTTCAAAATCGAAAGTTCTGCTAGATGACTAGGTCCTCGTATGAAGATTCGACGGTCAGCAAGGAGTAGAAGTCTCAGAGAGACTAGCTAGTCGGCTAGTTCGGCATTTAGCTACCGAACTAGCCGACTAGCCGAATGTTAGCGAAAACTTGAAATATAAGAAATGTAATATGGGTTTAGACTACACCAAATTACTGGCCCATCTTATTTCGCAATAGCGCACGCCAATTTTAACATTATCAATCGAAACATATTTATAACTATAACCAAGTTGAGCAAAATTGCAGCGATTAACATCGAATTAAGAGGACTTTAGAATTGTTTCAATTGTTTAAATAAAAGTTTTTAAATAACTCACCGAAGGCTGAGGCAAATGAAGAGTTGGAATTTCCCGTCCTTGCCCAGGGTCCGTCCTACAGTGTTTATTTCATCCATCAGATGGCAGTAGCATCTCCAAATGGACCGGTGCTCCTGGTCTTGCCTGCAGTTGTAGGCTACTCCGCAACTCTTGTTACTTTGCGAGCTTTGTTCGTCGCACAAACTCATTTTGAACTCATCTTTCACCCTCGCTGGAAAAGTAACAGTTTGTGAATTGACAAAAAATTACTTTGGAAAAAAAAACCTTGGGCTAGACCATCTTTTGACGTGCCTGTCGAAACACTGAGATATAAAAACGCTCAGCTTTTCTCGCTACAGCGCTACAAGCACTTTATTCCATTTTATAGACTATATTTTTTATACCTACCAAAGTAGTCCCAAATGAAGAGGTTCTTCCCGAACAATCTCGCAGATTTAAATCCGCAAAGGAATGCTTGCTCCAAACACTTCACTAATCCGTTTTCGCCGCAGAGAAGGACGCTGAGAGAGTTTGCGTCTTTCTCTCTCTTCGACTGATAGTGCCACTTCACTATAGCGTTTACACAGTCACCTGAAAATAATAAAATAAATCATTTTTTTGAATCGTTAAAAGGCTCTATTTTTATTTTCATCATCATAATCTTATCTACAGGAGATAAGATTATGGGCTAATCACAGTTAAAACGACTTGTGATCGGTTGGGTGTAGATCTTGGTTACACAGCGTCTAGGATGGTGATGGCGGTTCGAAAGTAAGTCAAGTCTGTATTTTATTACCAGAAAACGGGTAATCATACCTAAATATTTTTTCATAAACACTCATGTAGAAAATGCTCAGAAAAATTAAAATTAAAACAAAATACCCACAAATGTTTATATTCCGCAGCTCTGAACACTCATTATCTAGCATTCATCGGCCGAGTAATAGACCACCAATCATGTGATGTATAGTGGCGGGCGCAGGAGCCCCGCACTCTTGCTGCTAACAGTACATAGTCACTCAATCGACCCATCATCCACTGTACCTAGCCAGTGATCGCATGACAATAGTAACACTCACCGATCATGTGCTTTATAGCGGCTGTAGACAGATGCGTAGTAGCCATGGCGTTGCTGCTAACAGCCTCTTAGTCGACCCGTCGTCCACCCCATTACCTAGCCAGCGATCCCATTACAACTGTACTGTAATAGACTCACCAATCATGTGCTGTATAGTGGCCGTAGACAGATGGGTAGTGGGCGTGGCGGGGTGCGAGGCAGGCGCGGGGTGCGGGCGCGGGAACCCCGCACTCTTGCTGCTAGTAAAAGGCGCTCAGTAGACCCGTCGTCCACTCCAGTACCTAGCCAGCGCTCGCATAACAATAGTGATGGACTAACCGATCATAGCAATGTGGTATATAAAGGCTGTAGACAGATGCGTGGCGGGCGTAGCGTTGCTACTAGCAGCAGTCGCTCAGTAGACCGGTCATCCACTGTACCTAGCCAGCGATTGAATGGAAACGGTAGTAGACTCACCAATGTGTTGTATAGTGGCTGTAAATAGATTCGTGGTGGGCGTGGCGTTGCTGCTAGCAGCAGCGCAGTCGACCTATCTTATCCTTCAGTGATAGACTCACCGATCAAGTGCTGTATAGTGCAGCAGACCCATCGTCCACTCCTGTGCTTAGCCAGCTAAAGGGGAACGGTAATAGGCTCACCAATCATGTACTGTATACTGGCCGTAGATAGATGCGTGGTGGGCGTGGCGTCGCTGTTAGCAGCAGTCGCTCAGTCAACTCTCGTCCACTCCTGTATCCAGCCAGAGATTGCATGGTAATAGTCTCACCAATCATGCGCTGTATAGTGGCCGTAGACAGATGCGTGGTGGCCGTGACGTTGCTGCTAACAGCAGCTGCTCAGTCGACTCATCGTCCACCCCATTACCTAGCCAGCGATCCCATTACAACTGTACTGTAATAGACTCACCGATCATGTGCTGTATAGTGGCCGTAGACAGATGCGTGGTGGGCGTGGCGGGGTGCGAGGCGGGCGCGGGCGGCGGGTGCGGGGTGCGGGCGCGGGAACCCCGCACTCTTGCTGCTAGTAAAAGGCGCTCAGTAGACCCGTCGTCCACACCAGTACCTAGCCAGCGGTTGCATGGGAACCTGTGTGAAAATGATTCTAGAATTATAGTTGTAATATGTGACTGAGTTTCTTNTTAGCGGGAAAATCTTTTTGTATGAAAAATCTAAACTGATTAAGTTAGACGCTTGAAATTTGGCATGCAGGTACCTTAGTAAACTTAAAGCTTAGTTACAACAGAATATTGCAAAATTCCCACGGGAACGGGAGTTAGCGGGAAAAAACATTTGTATGAAAAAATCTAAACCGCGTAAGATAGACGCTTGAAATTTGGCATGCATGTACCTTAGTAAACTTAAAGCTTAATTACAACAGGATATTGCAAAATTCCCACGGGAACGGGAGTTAGCTGGAAAAAACATTTGTATGAAAAAATCTTAACCGTGTAAGATAGATGAAGGGGGTAAAACGGGATCCACGCGTACGAAGTCGCGGGCGGCCGCTAGTAATAAAATAAATCCTACTAGCTCGATTGATGGTTTCATTTAATTTATTTAAACCAGGTTACCAATGTAATCTTTTTTCGTAATTTATGAAAATATCAAATTAGCTCGTAATCCTGAATCCTGTTACATAAAGTTAGCCTATTAATTTAACACAGGTAAGACTGTACTCAGTGTTGCACTATCAAATGCAATTGACGCGCCTCTATGCCAGGGTTTTTATGTTCCTGGTCATATTATTAGTTCAGAACTCATCCTATTTATGGGTCAATGACAGTTAAAACGACTCTTGAGCGGTAGGATTACACAGCGCCATCTAGTTCTAGTCTCAGCCAAGCCTGTATTATGTTACCAGACAACGGATAATCATATCTAAATACTTTTTCATAAATACTCAAATATTATATTCTACAGGTCAGAACACACGACGCCTAGCATCCATCGATCGAGTAATAGACTCACCAATCATGTGCTGTATAGTGGCCGTAGACAGATGAGTAGATGCGTGGTGGTCGTAGCGTTGCTGCTAGCAGCAGTCTCTCAAGCGACTCGTCGTCTAATCCTGTTTACCTAGCCAGTCATTGAATGGGAATGGTTCACTCACCAATCATGTGCTGTATAGTGGCCGTAGACAGATGCGTGGTGGTCGTGGCGTTGCTGCTAACAGCCTCTCAGTCGGTATCGATCTCATGACAATTAGGAAGAAAGATAGAAAAATGTTTATAGTCACCAATCATGTGCTGTATAGTGGCCGTGGACAGATGGGTGGTGGGCGTGGCGGGGTGCGAGGCGGGCGCGGGCGGCGGGTGCGGGGTGCGGGCGCGGGAACCCCGCACTCTTGCCGCTAGTAAAAGACGCTCAGTAGACCCGTCGTCCACTCCTGTACCTAACCAGCGGTTGCATGGGAACCTGTGAAAAAATGATGATTCTAGAATTATAATTGTACCTAATATGTGACAGTTTCTTGCGCTGCTTCTTCTCAGCACTGGCCCATTTATCGTCCCGAAGCAGTGGTAGGGTTAATACTGGGACATGTAAAAGTGCTTTTTAAAAGCCTATTTGCAAAAATAAATGCGTTTTTTTTATAATAACTTTCGCAATAGAGCCTGATGTGATGTGTACTGTGCCAGAATTTTACTTCTGAATGAAGGCAATCGTTTTAGCGCTTACCAGTTGGCGTTACTGTATGTAAGTTCAGTTTAGTCACTCACTATTAACTAAAATAGTGGCTCCAACTGGTGAGCGCTGATGCCGTGGAAGAGCTCGTCAAATAATATCAATTTAAACAAATGCCGTTATTAGCATTAATTAAAATCATTCATTTGACTTACGTGTAGGTATGTCCCGTAACTTCATTCCTTACGAAGACTTGATCGAGCAACCATCTTGGAGACAGCCCAGAATTATCATGGCCGATGCGCAATGTTGATAGAATACCCAAGTTTTTGTGCTAAAAGATAAAACAACATCAATTTAAATCCTCGTTGTGGATAAAAAAATCCAGTGTGTTATTTGTATAAATGTGTGAATAAAGTCATGTTCCAATTGAAGTCTATTTCCTTATTTGCTATACTTACGTGGAAGACAAATTCGTTAGTGTTGCGTGGAATGGGTATCTTCGGGGTCGACTCTCTGTTTGTTCCTGATATCGATATCCAACAGTTCGCCGTAGTCTGACTAGCCTTTCGTGATGGTACGATGAGAACTCGGTATGGAAGTTCTAAAAAGAAAATGGCGATTTGAAAAACGAGCTGTCAAAACGTTTTGTCATAGAGATTGTATAAAAATCTGCTGCTGAGGTCATTTGTCGCATATGTTGAAACTGATCAAACGTCATATAGTTGTCCGACACTGAACCGTTCCAGCTGATATTGTCAAGAGGGCGCTACTATCGATACTGGATTATTAGCTCCGATTTTTGCCACTTGAAGTTTAAAAATCTCTCAACGATAAAGTAGTTTGATGAAATATGCACCATAAAGCGAGATTAACGATAAGATAAGAAGAATAAAATGAATACTAACTTGTGGTGGGATAAGTATTGGTGAAGCAGTGGTAATCGACAGCGTTCAACGTCAGCAAATGGTAGAGGAACTGCTCTCTTTCTTCCTCGCAGCGCAAGAAGGCGGTCCGTTTGTACTGGGACCGTAGTAACGTGGTGTCAGCTAAGAGTTCCCGAAGGTGCTTCGATAGAAGCTTCTTCTCTAAAGATAGGCGCACCCACGCCCGAGCGTAACCGATTTCAGTCTTTATGTCGGTCATAGCTTGGACGTTCCTGGAAAGATATAGAGATAGATAATATGTAGATTCTTCTATAGATTTTGTGTGGCAAAGACTAGCTATGTCGTCACTTTTTGCCGACTCAATTAACAAATATTTATTGATGTCAAAGAAAGGCAAGAATTTTATGTTCCTTTAGAGAATTTGTGTCTTGGAATCATTGGTTAGTGGTGTCAACTGTCTCATTAAGAACTCCTGCTCAAGTATGAAAGATTTTATTTACCTCATGTCAAATGTCAGACTTTCAGGCAGCGGCCTCATCGGGTTGGGTGGCTGCGAAGACTTCCGCTCCAAAGTCCCGGAGTTGCTGAGCCGGTCCCGGGAACTATCCCGGGATCCACCCCGGGAACTGTCCCGGGACCTACTCCCGCTACTAGTGCTTTGTTGAGCTTCTACCTCTGCACCCACGGACGATAGATCTAAAATCCAAGATGTCTGTTACTTTATCAATGACATTAGGGTATTTTTTGCTGGAAAAATGGTCATGTTAAGCTAAATTGCGTATTAAAATAAAACTGATTTGAATTCTATTCACTCTTTGGAACATAATGTCGGTGCTTGTTTTCTTGATTGATAAGTAGAAAACTTCTTTTAGGTAATAACTATTTTTGTCAATACAAAAATGTACTCTAATCCTCTGCTCTCGTGTCGAATTCATTTATCAAATATAGATTCTAATAATTTACTTACAATCCAGACGCTTACGCAACACACACCAGGCCAAAGCTGCATGTTTTAAAAGCAATGAACATGTTAGGTATAAAAAAAATGAGACATAGAATTATAATAGTGATTGAATTATAATAAGTATAAATAGTCGATGAGATCTGTAACTAAATGGTTAATTATTAATTGCATTAACAACCAAAAATATTCACCTGGAGTAAGATAGTTCGGGTCTATCGGTTTAGTGGAGTTACTGCACTGCTCTAACTCTTGATAATTTGTGAGGTGCATCCACAGCGCTGATTTACCCATCTTATGCTGCAGCCCATGGGACCATAGTCGCTCTAATAAGTCGCAGAGAGACGCAATCATAGTGCTCTCTTCAACCCCTGTTATAGAAACCTCGCTTCCCAACCCTAGATCACTTTCCTCCGTACCCATTTTCTCAACGAGCATGCGTTTAGTTTTACTTTTGCATTCCTGGGAAGTGCAAACAAATAACGTATTAAAGACGAAAGCATGAAGATATATTATGCAAGTTAGACATTTATTTGACAAATATAACTTACTTTGAGAAGCTTTTCTACAAAGGTCCTGTTGTTCTGGGCGATAGCTGCAGGAGTGACGTCGGTAGACAGCTTTCTGCTGATGTCACCGAGCAACAATTCCGGTGGGCAGTCTTTTACTTGCCATTTCGCGTTCTTTATCCGCTTCAAGCTATTCGTCCTGAAATGTTAAGGCAATTTAAACTTACTGACAAAAAAAATATAGAAAAAGCAAGCACATGAAGCGAAAAGCAAACCGTGAAACTCCAAGACAACACTAATATGTTCGTGCATGTACAATTATTGCTAACAATAGCTCCTTTTTTGTTTACCGCGGATTCCCGCAACATTGAACAAGCGAATTTCATCTTTATGTCTATTGTAATGTAAGCTTCTATTCGAAGACTATATCTTCCAATGGAAACTTAACAGAAGACATGCTAGCCTAATTAATTATACATACATATTTGGGATAATTATTTAAAATACATGGATAAGTTCAACACCTTTATTGTTCATAGTTAAACACATAATAAATATAATAAAATTTCCAACTAAGTAGTAACATAAATATTTTACGAAGGATCCTTCGTATCGTTTCTATTCGGAAGACTTAAAACGGCATTAAGTAGGTCATTTTCTTAATGAATAGGTATTACATCTTCTGTATTGATTTTAAATGATAAATAATTAATATTACGTCAAAATAACTACGTTACTGTAACTTGTAATTACAATCAATCTAATTATTTGATTACATAATCACGTTTACAACGCATGCAACATAAACATTTATCACAACATTCCAAGTACAAAAAAAATAAGTAAAAAACTTAAAATGAAACTTCTGTAAGCCAATAAAATGCAATGTGTTTTTAGAGATCAGTTTTTAGTTTATTAACTGAGGCTTTATGTATGCAAAATGATTCACAAACATTAATGAATGCACACGATATGACACGGTGAATGAGAATTTACACCAAAAAAACAAAATACATTTTGTCTCACAAGTTGTAAAAAATGACGTTTGGATTATTATGTAGTATGATTTAGGTATCGAATATTCCATTCTCAAGAGATCTATCACTCAGGTACTGCTTTTTTAACACCACCAGCATAGTACACGGTATATTACACAGTTTTAAAACTGTGCAACAAAATTATTCTGATGTGGTGCTGATGTTTTACATTCGATACTTAATCACACCTCAAAATGTTTAACCTCATTTTTTAGACCCTGTATTTATCAAAACAATACACACATAAGTTAAATTCATAAAAACTGAGCATTAATTTTAATTATTATGCTTATACATGCACCTTGGACATGCGTAGAGTATTTTGCAAATTTTATGAGCATTTTTACTTTAGGTATACTACACCATAAAACATGCAGTAAAGCAAACAAGATATATCATAATCATAACGCTTAATATTACCTACTATGAATAATATTATTTAGAACCTTCAAGACAAATACACAATAAAAAGTAAATAATAAAAAATAGCACAACATTGATATAGAGCACGAATACGTTATTACAACAAATAGGTAATCGAAATATTTTTAACTTGTATAAATAACAGTAGAAAGAGTATTTTTTCTCTAAATGAAGTTCGTATTTATAGTAAATGGTACATACGAGTACCTTTTAGTCTTGCAATCATGCATGGATCATTTTTTCTTTCTACCATTATAAAATTAATTTACTTTCTCTTAAAATAAATTTTAAAATATAATCAAAAGATCGAGATTCTTGTTTATGGTATAGAATACAAACCATTTGGTATGAGATTATAATTAGTAACATAAATCTCTAAATACTGCAACGAGCGCTCGTCTCCATTTGGCGATCTAACCGAGGAGGTGGTTCTGTAAGTTTAACTTATTTTCATTTACAATGATTTAAGCTAAATCGAATAGCTAAGTTAGCCTGCTTTCCGAAAAGTGCTCGTGTAGTTATAGTGAAAAGCTGCCTGTGAAGCTGCATAGTTTAATTTACAATAAGTTAAAAATTGCAAGAAGCAATAGCTTCAGCGACTATTCTTGATACTTGTAATAATGTTTCAGTCTTTGCGTGTTTGATAGTGTGTCTACGAGTAAGCAAAGTATAGATTATAATAATGAGATTTCTGAATATTTACCCTTGATGTCTGACGTGTGTCACTCGACGGTCCTTGCGAATTCTAAATGTTAATACTGTAATGTTGGTGATGAGACTATTCAAGGACATTCTGAGCATTGCGATGCATGCATTGAGTCTTAAAAATAAAATATTAAATGAGCAAATTTCGGATTGCAGACACTGGAAAACCGGGTTTGTAAATTCCAAGTTTTAAAAGATGGATTCAAACTCTCGTTTTAATACCTTTTCCTACTCAAACGTAAGCATATACGTTACATTACATGCACTACACAGTAGTGCCAATTAACTAAAAGACAATCACTAACCACAGTCCAGGCTGGTACAATCGCATGCTATCACATAAAGCTGCCTTAAACTAACACATTTATTAATTCGTCATAGTATAATTAATAAATTTAACAACACTAAAATAGTGCTCACCGAGTTAACAGTCAGTTTTCAAATTAAGACATCAAATGTCGTGCCAATTTCTAATTAACTGAGCAATATGAGCTTGTAAAATGTTAGTAAACAATGTAACTACTGCAAATGTAATTAAATAATATTCACATTGACGTAGCGTGCGCGGATCTTGGAGCATTTGCGTGATAGCTCATACAAAATTCGTACTCCCCCCAAACGGCACGCTACTATGTGGATATACCTTAAGCCAACATAATAGAGTTTATAACTGTTACATATGTATGTCATCTCGGTGCGCGAGTATCGGCTGCATGCAAGCGTTGACACCGATACAAAATACAGAAAAAGGAGCCACAAGGACGAAAACAATACATAGAACACAATAACATTGTCATAAAATGTTTTAAGAAGGTGCGACACAGGACTGTTTTCACACTTGCGACTTAAAAGTTGGGGTAATCTCAGCGACTCTCATGAGGCAGCTAGCACTATACGTATAAGTTATTTTTGTATGAAAAACTATGTAGCTTTGTACTATAAACAAATAGCAGACGTTATCACGCAACGTTCACATGCTTAAGTAGTAACTTATGTTATGAAAACGTCAAATACGAAGGTTCAAGGAAATTAGAAGCTATTCGTTAAATATAAAATATGATATTCATGAAACTCTTTTACAAATCATGGTTTATATGGCAAAAGAGTCATAAATTCGCGATTAGCGCAACAAATACTGTTGGTATGCATGATACTACTGACATTGTTATGCTATGGTACTCTTGGAGCACACATGTTAGTGATATTATTCAAAATAACAATCTATCTAAACTGTGGCACTGTTAATTAAATAGTCCACCTAAAAAAATATGGGATGACAGGTCTAATAAGTAGATTTGATAAGGTAACATGACGTCACCATTCAATTGACAGTTCAACTATCAAAATGAATCGAATTTGCAAGCACTAAGATCCTTGGGGAAGTCTTGTCTAACAGTGAACGTCTTTTGCTTATTTTGAACCAGATTTGACGTCACGCCTTAGTACTCTATTTGAATCCACCGACTGTAAATAAATTGATTTTAAAAATCGTAACGGAGCTTCTCTGCAAAATCTTAATCCTTATAAAATATCGGCATTATTAAACATTGATGGCGTCATGCACCCTAAATGAGATACGGAGGCTACGGCTAACACGCGGGGTCATGCATTAGCTGCGTCACTAGAGGCGGAGACAAGTCCGAAGTCCGGTATTGACCTGCGGTCGGCTGTTGGCGGCGGGGCCAGGGCAGCTGGGTCAAGCCGCGCGGGGAAGGCGCGGTAGTACGCCGCCCGGTGGGGCAGACGCTCCACGGGAGCCCCCACCTCTAATTCAGCCCCCAGCCCCCCCAAGCCGCTGGCTGTCCCCGCCCACACGCTGTAACCGCGCGTCGCCAGCCCCCCTTCGCCTAGCCGACGTCTGCAAAACACGCTCTAGTCACGACTGGTGTTGCCAGATCCCAATACCCAATTATGACTGAAACGTTCTTCCACCTAACTTAATATTATTTTCTTAATTTAACTTATTTTAATAGAAATATTACAAATTTTCCAATCTGGCAACACTAGTCGGTGACAGTTGGCAACACACCCATCACCTTAAACACTCCCCGTGAATAATTGACTGAGCTGTATCTTCTCCTGAAATATTTTCCGTGCAAAGATAACGCTTATTTGGTGATATCATTAGCACTTTGATTGTAATGTGCCATTGTAACATACTACATGCTAAAACGCATAATCAAATCCACCAATATAATAATCCCATTTATTTTTAAAACCTTACAATTTTTGATCCCATTTGCAGTCAATCATTACATGCGTTAAGTTTTCCTATCATGCCCCGTCCACATTTGAACTAATATTACTTTACTCTTGGGCCAACCCGCTTAGTACCAGTTTCTGTAAGTCGACCAAAGACAATGGAATAAAGCGAGAGTGCGCGATGGTTAAGAAGTGCTGGTGTAAAAGTGATTGGAGCCAATGAATAGTGCACTTTTTGATACGGTAAATCTTTGGAGCCAAGCTTGGAACCAAATAAATTAGTATGTGGACGCGGCATCATAGTTGCTTGTTAGTCATGACGTCACTTCACTCTGTAAAAATACTTTATCGACACTAACCTGACCGCCTTTATGCGATGCTCGAAGACCTGCAAGTTGGCGTCATACTCTCCCCAGTTGGCCATAATCTTGTTGTCTATGAGAGTGGCGAACATCTGTGTCTCGAGGAAGCGAGACAGGAACGGCCGATGCCTTTGGGGTTGGTCTGACAGGAACGACGCCTTGTCGAAGTTTACCATAGACTCGCGCGCCGTTAGCCAGGAGTCGCGGTCCTGGGATTTAAGAGAAATAGGACAATTATAATAAGTATGCTAGTGTCCGACCGAATGTTCGGTTTCGGTTTCGTTTTCGGTTGAGTTTCGGTAAAAACACGAGTTTCGGTTTAGTTTCGTTTTCGGCGGCAAACTTGCCGAAACTACGACCGAAACCGAATGTGCATTCGGGAGTTTCCGCGCTGTTATCGGTCATGTTCGGCGCGTTGAATGAGTGAATGAATCCGATCAGAGCCAAATGTCGTGATTCGCTCGCTTGTTTGTTTGCTTGCTGTTAGTTTTGTTTTGTTGTGGTGGCGAGTTTTCAAGTGATTTATTTTGAATTTGGTATGTTTTATCTCGTTTTATGTCGTTATAACATAAGAGCGGGTGTAAACATAAAAATAAATATTCAATATGACTGATAAAAGTATAATCAAGTTTAAATATCTAACCTATTTTTTTTTTGGTTCGCAAGTGCTATACGTAAACAAACATTAAGTAAGTAGTTATTAATTACTGAAGTGCATTTTATGGTGATAATATTATGGATTCAGAGTTTCAAAGTTCATTCTAGTATTTATCACCAAGGTATCCAAGTGGCAAGTATAGTAGGTACGAACTTACGTACTACCAATTTTGTTTTGAGAAATTATTAAGGTAAAAAACCCGACCATGGGACGGGTTATGTAGATGTCCTGAATATTGCGAGTAATTAAAAAAAATCTAGACTATAAATCCTTCTTTTTCTTTTTTTGATACCTAATACATAATTTGATACCTTTTAGAGTAAAAATGCACTTTATAAGTTCAATTTTAATGCAATTTAAAGAGAAAACCATAAAGACTGACTGATTGTAATAACTTTTTCTTTATTTTTCCCTCAAAATATGAGCCTTGCCTTGTAAGGAAGTTTCGGTTTCGGTTTCGGCCGAAATAGACACCTTTGCCGAAATTCGTTTTCGGTTTCGGTCGTAAAACTAGTTTCGGTCGGACACTAGTAAAATATTTTTTATTATTTATAAGATTTTAAACTTTCGCGTTCCATTTCAACTAAAATAGAAGCTTGTGACCACCACGGCTGCAGCATAGCAGCCGAAACGTCAAGCCGTGAGTACATAATATTGTAACTCATTAATAAACGTCGAGTGAAGACCCGTGTCTTTCTATTTTTATTATTACTTGGTCTGCCAGTTCATGTACCGGAACACAGGTTCAATAGCGAATACACATACCGCTAAACTTTAGAATAACTATAACACTTTGTAATGGATGGTTAATTATTTATGGCATGATAAAAATATTATTATATTTATTTAGCTATCTATTTAATCTGTTATCATGCTGGAATAATAAACGTCGGCACCAAAACAAACGCTGTGCAATCTTATGTGTAATAAGTGCGATTTTGCAAAGAAGTGACTGATGAGCACACCAACAAAGGCAGCAGTCGACTGTACAAGTTACATTTAGTTTGATTCTAATTGGTGATTGATTTGATTGTAAGTACTTATTTATTTATTCAATATTAATTAAAAAATGTAGATGTTGTGGAATATGCCGCAAATATATACCCAATTAATTGATTTGAATTTATGATCTGAAAATAAATTATATTAGTTTATAAATATAGCTCTTTAAAATATGTATTCTATTTTCTTACAGAGAAACATTTCAATTGAAAAGCAATAATTTGACGTCATGTTTACTCATTAGAGTCGAAAATGTATTTAGTCTTCGTATAACAAATTGATTTATACATAGGTATTACTTACATGAAGTTATTGGTCGGGTTTGATATAGTAGTTTAATTAATTTAAAGTTTGTTTAATGGCAATTTTCTGAAAAGTTACATTGCAAATTGTGGAAGATAGAGGCATAGAGTATGGAGATCCTATTTTAAAAGACCTTTTTATAGATTTCTATAGAAGAAAAAACTTACCTGATCGGGCATGATGACAAAGTTTTCATACATGAGAAACATGTGCACAAATCTGTTTAAAAATGTTTCCCTGATGGCAACATTGAAGCGGATATCTTCGTTGTATTGTTCTTCGTCGTTGAGTATTTTCTTTTTCACTGTGGGCATCACAGTTTCCGCGTCTACGTCATCAATGTTTACACCTACAAATTAAGACAGAAACGATTAGAAATGCAGAGAGTAATCCCATTTACAGAAGTCAGATCTTTTATAACCTATAAAAGATCTGCCCTAAATATTAGCGATTCTAAGCTTCAGTTTTTTTTTAGGAAATAACCTATGTTTAGCAGTGGACATCCTATGGCTGAAATTATGATATTGAAGGAAATATAAGATGCAAAACAGTGAGGTAACTAACAGTTTCCCCATTTCCTGTAACAGGACGCTAGCACTCAAAATACGCTAATGTCAACGTATCGCGCTTATTCTTTTGAATAGTGATTTTTATTACCAAAGTAAATACATCGAAATCTAGAGAGACTAGAAGGGTTAGAAGAATCCTCAACTTTTAGCCTAGGCGCAGACTGCAAACTTTTTGTCGGCTGATAGTTTAGTCGGGCAGTTAATCAGTATGGGCATGTATGGAATTGGGATCCGATTGAAATCGGGTCCAACTATCGGCCGACTAAAAATCGGTAGACTGCGCCTAGGCTTAGCCAAGTCAACTCACCAGTCCGTTTGACGATGTCAACAATGCGTTGCAGCGCGTCCATTCTTAGCGGCGCGCGCCTAGTCGGCGACGCGGGCGGCGAAGCGTTCAATGGCCGGCTCTCTTCCCATTCCAATACGTCGTGGAATGAGTGCTTTCTACGCAGCCCACCTGGAGACACATTTGACTCGTTAACAACCCATTTTGCAGCTGCCATCAGAGTACACTTTGTGTTTCAATTATAACAACATAAAATGCCAATATGGCTAAATGTGCTAATTTGTGGCCGCCTGGTGGTTCACTTATGGATTAGAAAGCCAGCGGCAGTGGATTGGATTCTCGCTGGTGCAATGCGTTTTACTCTAGTACATCGAGGAATATGTACAAGTCGTCAAAACAACATAATAAGTTACTACAAGTTTGTTAATCCCGTATAATTAACATTAGTATTAGAACAACAACATATCGAACCGACCAAAAAAACATTTATATGTATGTGAATATCATCTTCTAAAAATGTATACATATCATTATGTTACCAATTACCTAAGTTTGATTCATCAAAGAGCACATAATTAATGGTTAATTTGGACGTACAAAGGAACAATTACATACCGCTACGCTAATTGACCTTAAATTTTAATTACCTGATGGCAAAGTGCAACTGCTGCTCATGCTATCGTTCATGCTCTTGTACGATGTTCCGTTTAAGGGCACGCCGAGTTTCGTTGGCTCCGTTTCTGGTCTTTGGATCTTGTAAACAACAAACAAAAGTTTAAATTACTATTTGTTTTATGATTTAGTGCAATAATTCAAGCATAAGGTCGCTTTTAATTGGCAAAATTTTATAAAAATACGCAAAAAAATACACAAAAACGAAAATTTTAATGGATGAAAAGATCTACCTATTGTATTCTTAAGGCCCGGTTTCCACCAAGGCGAAGCGGAGCGGAGAAATGTTTTTAATAACAATGGGATTTCATTCTGTCAATTCATTCAATCCGAATGAAATCTGATTGGTTATTCAAAATATTTCTCCGCTCCGCCTTGGTGAAACCGGATCTTATAGTTGCCACACACAAATTAAATAAAAAACAACCTGTATAATAAAATTAGGACCCACCTGATGTTTATCTAGGACATGGTTGAGTTCCTCCACGAAGGGGGTTCGGTGCGGGAATATTGGCAGCTCTTCCGGGAGCTGTATGTCTGGCTTGTCTATGTCCACCAAGCACAGAGCTGCTTCCGAGCCCAAGGCTACGTTCCGGGGGCCATGCTGGCCCATGCCTGCCGCTGAGCTCTCGGCGTGTAGACCTGACAAGGTGGACATTGAGGATTACCAAATTGTTTAATTTCTCTCGTTTCAACAGGACATCCACTAATGGACAAAAGTGTGTTTCCCCAAAGATTTTCAAAACGACTGGTCCTGCGCTGCCCGCAGCTACATGTTTCACGCATGGTCACAAGTCCTTAAGATAAGGTACCACGACAAATGATTTTCAATAACCATAATTATGAGCTATGAGTATGAGTTTTTTTGTATACTGTTTCGTATAAGGACGCCTCGGTTGGAAACTTAAGATAGGTCACGTCGTCGATTCCAATCTTACCAGTATGTCGTGAGTAGGTACCTACACGTGTAGTATATTGGTTTTGCAATGTGACGAGTCTGATACCTATGAACCTCTCTATACGTGAGAAACACCTCACACAACTCAAAATTGATGATCATAATAAATGTAAATATTTTTTAAATGTTAAAAGGTGATTCTATTATGAAATAATGATGACGCACACATAAACACTTCACATAAAATGTCATTCGAACGAACAATACTTATTCATGACTATAATAGTGTAGTCTAATAATAGTGAAATCAGGATACATAATCATAGTACATAATTAAATAGATATAAATGTAAGATGTTTTCTGCTAAATCTTTATTACAGCAACATGTCAAGGTTAGGCCAGTGTTTTGTTCAGTATCCGTTTCGGTAGTAATTGAACAAAACAATGCCGAAAGTTGATTATTCTATTGTCATCAGATTTCCTTAGCCTTTCAAACTGGACCGGGAAATAAGCAATTGCTCTGTGTCTAGGCGTCTCCTTAGGGTGTCTATTGACACCTGCAGAGCGTCATATATGCGGAAAATAATATATTTTACATTACGAATTACTATCACCCATTGGAAAGTCATGTTAATATGGGGAAAGCTTTCATTTTCTCGGTCTGTCTAGATGTCGCTCGTAGTTCTAGTCAGTCGTCAGTACAGGTGATCTAATGCGAGACATGCGATGCAGCTCCATTAGATTTATTAAACAGCTCATCTGACCACATTCCTAAAGACGACTAATTTGAAAAGATAAACATACAAAGAAATCGTAGAAATAACTTTAAACTCTAGCTTTTTAGCCCTACACAGAAAACTGCCGTGAATTGTTTGCAGTTAACTGCAAGGGTGAGTAAGACTGTTTGTAGCGGAGCGCCACAAAGCGCATTTACAAAGTACTTTAACGTCGCACCCTTCGATGTGAAATGTGCCTAAGAAGAAGTACACTCGGTCACACAAAAGTATTAATGTAATGTAAGAATGTCGCTCACACACTGGTCAAAGACTGAATATACTCACGTCCGAAATACCGCAGTGTCTCAAGACAAGTCTTTGACCAGTGTGTGTTGCCAGTGATGGCATATGGATCTGAAACGTGGTCGTTTACTATGGGCGGCGGCTTATATGTAGCGGGCTATGCTCGGAGTTTCCCTGCGTGATCGAATCAGAAATGAGATCCGCAAGAAAACCAAGCAGAATTGCTAAAATCAAGTGGCAGTGGGCGGGGGGCATAGCTCGTTGAGACGATGGCCGTTGGGGCAGAAAGGTTCTCGAGTGGCGACCACGGGCTGGAAGACATAGCGTGGGCAGGCCTCCTACTAGGTGGACCGACGATCTAGTAAAGGTCGCGGGAAGAGCCTGGATGCGGGCAACGCAGGACCGTTCATTGTGGAAAGCCTTGGGGGAGGCCTTTGTCCAGCAGTGGACGTCTTTTGGCTGAAAAGAAGAATGTCGCTCACCCATGACAAAAGGCACCGGCGCGTCCAGGAAATGGTACAGCGGCGCGGGCAGGATCGGCACGTACACGTGCGCCCACGAGAACGGGAGCAGCAGAGACACCGCGCACTCCGCCACCAGCATCAGCTTGTTGTAGTCTACGAGGAATTTCATTGTAATTATAGTTGTTGCAATGAGGGCTATCGTTTTTATACTTAACAGTTGGCACCCCTGGCCATTGACAGGACCTTACTCTACAGTGGCGCCATCTTGATGAGTGCAAATGCGATAGTCCTCCTACCACTTTAGCGCTCACAAGTTGGCGCCACTGTCTTCGCTACTAGCAAGTGACAGGACCTTACTCTACAGAGGCGCTAACTGGTGAGCGCTAAAACGATAGCCCTCATTCACAAAGGCGAGTGAGCTTTACATGTGTGGTGGCTCGCTACTGTTCGTTTTTCAAAAGTTTTGATAGACATTACACTATCGTTATGTGCATGCACACGTTCACACACAAGTAAAGCTTCTTGCATTCGTGAGTTGCAAAAACAATTCATTATTTACATTTATGTCAAGTCTTAAAAGAATGGTATAGTTATTTATTCATTATTCATTTATCTTGTAGCATATTATTTTTAAATGTACACAATAGTAATATTCACACAATAATAATATGTCTATGATTACAATCGGATTTGAATGAATTATCTGATTATAGGATTGAGGAATACAGTGCTTTAATAAATAATAAGTGAGAATTATAAAAAAATACAAAGTACAAAGTTATAAGCGTATTTTATTATTTAGATTTTACCTTGTTTCAATTCTGAACTTTATTAACTTGTTTTTCCATAAACTACATATTTAGAACTAGCTTTCCGCCCGCGGCTTCGCCCGCGTGGAATTTTGTCTGTCACAGAAAAACGTTATCGCGCGCGTCCCTGTTTCAAAAACCGGGATAAAAACTATCCTATGTTCTTTCCCGGGACTCAAACTATCTCTATGCCAAATTTCATCAAAATCGGTTGCGAGGTTTAAGCGGGAAAGCGTAACAGACAGACAGACAGACAGACAGACAGACAGACAGACAGACAGACAGAGTTACTTTCGCATTTATAATATTAGTTGGGATAAATTGTTAGCATGTTATTGAGATGAAACTTACCAGAAGATCTAAGCAATACTTGGTGTTCCAGCAACACACAAGTAAAGAGCTGCACCACACATTCAACACCGAGCGTTTGAAACATTACTCGTAAAGGATAATCAAGCAGTGGTAACTCTTCGGGTGGGTTTGGCATTCTTATCACCTGAAAAATTAAATAACATTAATCTAATGTCGCTGTTTCTTCAGATCGCTACTTCAGAGAAAGTGCAACTCATTAAGGCATTTGTCAACAAAATGTTTGGTGTGTAAGTGTATAATTACTGATGGTCAAACAGTGGTTTTTCAACATGTATTGTATACTTACAACAGGAATGGGGTCAAGATGAGGTTCCGATGGCGGTACATAGAGGCGTAATGCTTGCCCTGATAGAGGTACTGGCACTTCATAAAGTAAATTGTAAACATAAGACTCTGGACTCAGGCCTGGCCCAGGTTGACGAGGCAATGACCTGTATAAAATAACTTTATAACAACATGAATCAAATAAGGTAGCTTTTGTGGTTGATTGATGCTATACTCAGCATATTTCCCCCAGTGGAAAAAAATGAATAAAACTGTCCAAATAAGACGGCCATTATAGATTTTTAAAAGTACCTTAAAGTTGCTCAAAATTATCTTACTGTGGAGCTGATTTTTAAGAACTTTAATAAATTGTAAAGACAACTTATTTTTTATTCACTGTAAACTTCCAAAAAGCAAACCACTGTATTTGCAATTAAGATTGTATGGTAATAAAAGTTAACCAAGTAAAAAATAACAGAAAGATTTTTATTGAAATTAATATTAAGTGAGAGTGGGTCAATATTTAAGTGACTTACCTAAATAAATTCTCTAAGAACAATTGTGCAACTCTTACATACGGGTACTGGCATATAAGAGCTATACTTTTGGCTACATAGAGTTTATCTTTGGCTATATCATAATATGTGAGTGCAGCTCCACTGTGCGGAGTTAGTTTGAATGATCTGGGAAGGGATCTGGAGCTTTCTTTGCCAGTTCCCTTTCTGTGACCTGGAGGAGTCTGTCCGCTTGACAGTTCAGTGATATACATAGCCTGTAAAAATTAAAGAAAATGTATAAAGAAATCAGTAATTATTACTAAATTAAGATTAAACAGTGATCCAAAGTAGTTTAATTACCTGTAAGGTATGCATTGCACTGCAAATATTTCGATTCCTAACTTCTTCATAAAATATAAGACTAAATCCATAGTATCTGGAGGCATTTTCTCTGGTTACAACAAAACTATGAAATTTAGGATCTAAAGAATGTTTTTGTGTTCTAAATTGTAACCCAGCAGGGAGACATAGCTGAAAAGAGGGATACATTTGTACTGTCATGATTGTTATTTGTAATTATTTAATGACGTTGTGCATGTAAAATTTGTAAACAATACATATCAAAGCGGTTCTTTATTTACAATAAACAGATTTTTTTTAAACTAAGGCAAACTTAACTCTAAACAAAATAAAAATATAAACATATTGAATATTGCAATAAAGTATTCTGTGGGTATAAAAAGATTTACCTAACACTTTTTAGTAAAAAATAAATTACATCATTACTGTAAAGACATTAAACAAAATAACACTAATAAAAATTACTGTCCAATTACTGGTATATATCATCTGTATAAAAACAAACCAATTATTTCTGCACAGCACATATTATGAATAAACAATATCAGAGTTGTAGTTTTAAAGAATACGAATTGTATGTAAGCATCTGCATGTGCAACAAAGAAAAGATGCTTACCATACAAACTGCATGCTCATCAAAAGGATTGCTCTGGATATTATCTGGGTAGTGGGCTAAAATCTTTCCTTTATAGGCGCGATCCAAAGGAGACACATGTAAATTGTCACCTGAAATGGAAAGCAAAGCCAAATACTGTACCCGTTCGTCGTCTTACATAAATCGATAAAAGACGCAGGTTCTAAAAATAGTGTACAAACCACACAGACGATCAGGCTCCAAGCCTGAATCAAAGTCGAGACCACATATTGAAAAATAATCTGCAAATCGACATCCCACGGATAAATCAGGGACAGACATATTTCTATCGACCCGTTATTTACTATTCGAGACACTTTCTCTCCGAAGCTTTGTTTTGAACGTATTTGATTAGCATTTTACAAAAGAGTCTATGTCTTACGCGTGAATTCGTTTTATTGAATCGCGTATTTTGCAATCGTAGTAGACATTGTAAATTAATTAGATAAACAAAAATCTGCGAAACACATTTTACGCCACTAAACAGCTGCCAAACTGTGCCAAACACAAAATTGATAGACATGCTAAACGTCACACAAGCACAAGAATGACGTTGTTTTTTTTAAGTTAAACGTCAAAATACTGCTACGCTTTCTTTGCCGACGGATATTTTAGCACTGGCACAGGGCACTGGGTGTCCAGTGGATATTGTCCACTAAATTAGTTAAGCACTATTTTCTTAACATTGAAAAATGACATGAGAATAGTTCCAAATAATGAAAAATGGCACAATCTGGCACAAGTCCCTAGGGGTCATCTGTTCGCCTTGTCTACTAAAGTTAACCAAAAATGGAATAAAATTATACATCTTTTATTTTTATTTATTCAAAATCCACATGGGTTTTAATAATAAAAAGAAACCTAAGAAAGATTTACCTACTTATAGAGGTAAGGGTAAAGTTTTAGCCCATTTTATGATATTCAATAAATATTGGAATCAAACGAAGAAGGTGAGAAGACTTTTTGGCGGGAATCTGAAGCGTCATGTTAGCGGTTTTGTTTTATTTCCTCAAATTCGTGTGTGGGCGACTATTAATGTGTAATAATGGTGGATTATTAGCCATTGAGTGTTCGTGAACGTGCATGAGTGTGGGCAAGTGAAGCAAAACAGTGCATCGTGATTCTTCTGGTTCTCTCAAGTTGTCCTTATGAAGTCTCAGTAAAGCACCACAACTTTACTGAGACTCAAAGGGTGGGAAGGGGTATCACCATAGAGTTATAACTCTATAATGGGTATCACTATCATCCTTCATAATATTATTACTTGATCTCATTTTGTATAGCCTGACCAGGAACATAAAAACCCTCGCCATGTTGCGGAAAACTAATGGTACTAATTTCTTTTAATGGCAACAGTAACTGAAAACTTCATTGACATGTCACCATGCATGTCAGTCTATTGTTGTCAAAGTGTAAACAAACTTTATTTTAAATGTGTGCAATTGATTTCGTGAATTAAATTGCTAAAATATTTTTATAGTCGTAAAAGAAAAGTGGTTCACGATGTGTTAATGTATTTGTCGAAGAGAAATACTAAGGGTTCGGACAATATTTTCATTGAATAATGTTTCCGACAAAGGTTGTCAAATTGACTGACATGTTTATCGCATGGTACAGTCCACTATGAAAATTAGCTGTAGTCTGTTTCAACTACCTANCGGGAATTGAACCCACGACCGAATGTGTAATAATGGTGGATTATTAGCCATTGAGTGTTCGTGAACGTGCATGAGTGTGGGCAAGTGAAGCAAAACAGTGCATCGTGATTCTTCTGGTTCTCTCAAGTTGTCCTTATGAAGTCTCAGTAAAGCACCACAACTTTACTGAGACTCAAAGGGTGGGAAGGGGTATCACCATAGAGTTATAACTCTATAATGGGTATCACTATCATCCTTCATAATATTATTACTTGATCTCATTTTGTAACTTGTATCACATACTTGAAAATGGCACAAATCAAGTCGACCTCGACGTGTATTGCCAACATCATCAAAAAAGAAGAAGGTGAGAAGAATAATAGACCTTATAAGGTCTTTGGAGAAGAATGGGTACATAAAGTTTTTGAGAATGAACGAACGTCATTGATTGAATGACTGAAATTGAATTATTATTTACTTTGTTGGTGTGTTGTTAGGGCGTGTGTGGACTTTAGTTATGCGTTAATAATTTAATTTGTGAATTTAATTTTAGTACCATTGTTTGTTCTTATTTTTCGACATTTTACTCTTTAGAATAAGTTTCTTGATAATCTTACCTGTTTGATTGTCTGTGATAATTACCCACTGTAAAATTCCAAGGTAAGTCAAAGCATCGATCGTTTTGAATTTCAAAAATATCTTTTATCTTTTGTGTGGTGAAACAATTTGGAAATGCAAAAAGTAGGCTTAGGTCTGGTGCTTGTGTTGTTGTGAAAAATAATTATTGTAATCGTTGACCTCAAGCTTTTATAATAATGTCTGCTGTCAGGTATATACCCACCTATATCGGTCCTAATTGTATTTTATTATACATATTACTTACTGGACGTAGTTATCAAGGCATTCGTAAAATAATCGTAGTACAATCTCAGATGCAAAAGTAAGGTCATATGATTTCATAATTTTCCTTGTAAAACTTCATTGATAAATTTACTCAAATAGATCTGTGATTTGATAGTGTTTATCATTATTACTCAATTGTAGAATCATCAATAATTATAACAATTTAATTTGAAACTGGTCATGATTAAATATATCAATTACCTAATATGAATAATTTTGTTTCAGGATGTTAAGAGGAAGAGTGAAACATTTATTACATTGTGTTTCATTTTTATCATTTATATTTTTCTTCCTGGTTTTTGCCGGAGCCATAAATGTGAATGATGAACAGAAAGAAATAGTTGATCCTTGGGAAGCTTATGGAATATATGGAACAATTATTTTGTATGTTTTGAGACTGTTAACTTTACTCACTATACCTCAGGTTTTATGTAATTTTGCTGGATTAATATTTTTCAATGCTTTCCCCGGCAAAGTGAAATTAAAAGGTTCTCCTCTGTTGGCACCATTTATATGCATCAGAGTGGTAACCAGAGGTGATTTTCCAAAACTTGTGAAGGAGAATGTCACTAAAAATATGAACTTGTGCTTAGATGCTGGAATGGAGAATTTCATGGTGGAAGTAGTTACAGATAAGGCTATAAACCTGCCTAAACACAGACGAGTGAGAGAAGTTGTAGTGCCCTCAGAATACAAGACCAAGACAGGAGCATTATTTAAATCAAGAGCATTGCAGTATTGCTTGGAAGACAGTGTCAATATTTTGGCTGGGACAGATTGGATTGTGCATTTAGATGAAGAGACACTGCTTACAGAAAACTCCATCAGAGGAATATTGAATTTTGTGTTAGATGGTCAACATCAATTTGGACAAGGACTTATTACTTATGCAAATGAAAATATCATTAATTGGGTGACAACATTAGCAGATAGTTTTCGTGTGGCAGATGACATGGGCAAGCTGCGGTTTCAGTTTTACTTGTTCCACAAGCCATTGTTCAGCTGGAAAGGCTCGTATGTAGTTACACAGGTAAGAATTGTATAATCAGCTTAAATTTTTGTATGGCTGTAATCTTATTGTTTTTGTCTAATTTTATTCAATCTTTTTAGGTCAGCGCTGAGAGAAAAGTGTCCTTTGACAATGGTCTGGATGGTTCCGTGGCTGAAGACTGCTATTTTGCTATGAAAGCTTACATGGAAGGCTACTCATTTAACTTTGTTGAAGGTGAAATGTGGGAAAAATCTCCATTTACTTTGTGGGACTTTATCCAGCAGAGAAAAAGATGGATTCAAGGTATACTTTTAGTTGTACATTCTAAGGAAATACCTCTCGTTAATAAAATTTTCCTAGCAATATCATGTTATTCATGGGTGACACTGCCATTGTCAACAAGCAATGTTTTACTAGCCGCTGTTTGTCCCATACCTTGTCCTACACTTTTGGACATTGTATGTGGATTCATAGGTGCTGTCAATATTTACATGTACATATTTGGTGTTATAAAATCATTCCCCATATATAGATTTGGACCACTGAAATTCTTCTTATTCATTGGTGGAGCTTTGGCTACAATTCCATTCAATATTGTGATTGAAAATATTGCAGTAGTTTGGGGCGTTTTAGGTAAGAAACACAAATTTTATATAGTCAACAAAGAGGTCAAGATTCCAGTGACAGTATGAGGCACTTATTTATCATATCATTTTGAATTTTGTTAATAGTGTAAGTGCACAAATACTTTACTCCTGCACTCATACAGAAGTAAGAGTAGTGTTTGTATGACTCAACATTTGTGATTGTTTATTTAAGATAGGTAAGATCTTCAAAATTTATACAAGTGACTGAATGATATAGCTTTTGTTACCAAAGTGTGAAATTAGGAACAAACTTATTTTTAATTTTGGCATTACCTAATTATAAATATTCTTCTTATAGATTTAAATAACTTTCATAGGCTATTAAGCACAATTTATGTAAAAATGAGGGATAATAGTGAACATGCTAAAATANTTATCCTACATTCTAAGCTGTACTAACTTTATTATTTAGATAAAACAACTAAAAACGGACAGATTAAGGCACTAATATTATTAAAATACTATTTCAAAATACAAGAAATTGTTGAATATGTGTGTACGAACGTAACACCCGAAACGATGGAATGACCCAATACTTAATGTAAATTTTATTTTTTTATGTTTTTCTATTACAGTCATTTTTATTATTATTTTTGTAATAAAATAGTTTCCAAGTATTTATTGTGAACGAGAATAACATTAGAGATCTTTAGTGGTTTTTTAATAGTCACAAATTGAAGAATTCACTTCTGGAAGAATAGATTTAATGATGACATACTGCTATCTATAGTACAAAATGGTAGGTACTTAATTAATTACTATGCAATGCATGACATTTAGTAAGTAACATAAACTTTTTACATACTTCTTCACTGGCTTAAAATTTTTATACCTACCAACTGTTACAAATTTTTATATTTTTTATTGTACTATGCTTAAGATGCAAGTTTAATATGTACCTACCTACAATATTTCAGTTTAATTGAGTATATACGTTTCCATAAAAGAATGAGAAGTACTAATATGGTATATCTACCTACATTTTTGTTGTTCAGTATTATATGATTTGAAACAATTGTTGACTTGGCGTTTTGTGCTGTACTTAATAGAAAAATAATTATGTTCCAAACCACTGAATATTTCTTACATAGAGTGATCTAATACGTGTTCACGCGTATTTTTATTGTCAATTACGTACCGTGTCGAATTCATGCCTAAAGCCCCCAAAAATCTGAAAAACATTTTCGATATAAGTGTACCCACATCTCTAATTCCGCAGCACTTTCGGTTTTGATTATTTCAAAATCGTAATTTGAATGCAGTATAGACAGTTCCACTAATAGTATCCTTAGCTTATGAACTGTGATCAAAATATTCAGATTTTGTCACATCATTCTGCATCGCACTGAATATTGGGGCGTATTGGTGACGCGGCCTTTATAAAAATTAAATATACTCGTAGACGCAATATTAATTCTTACGTCGGGATGGAATGGAACACTTAAGTCATTATGTAAAAATATGTTTTTGGTGTATGATCTTTCTGTATATGATTATCAGAATTGTGGCAAAGATATTAGAACTAAGTAATTTTAATTATTTATTTAAATAATATTTTTACTTAAAACACCTATATTAATTCTCAGTATCAAAATGTTTTAATATAATGTTTACCTCAACTTAGGTAGAGATACATAAATCTTCCCAAATTATTTAATTTTAATGACATTGTGCAGACATATTGCGAATTTATTGCTAATATATTTAGTCAAACGAAAAGACATACCTAATTAAGATTATGAATATTTATTACCAATACACCATATTAATGGGAATGCATATTTAGAACTTAGTTATAAATAAATACATATTATTATATTAATACACATAGAGTATTATAATAGGATTAAACTCACAAGTATCTCAAGCTCAAAACAAGCTAGGTATAATTTTTACTGAAATCTGAATACAGAACATTGTTTAAAATTGTTTGAAGTAGTATGGTCCAAGTAAACAATATGATATCTTTGTGTCATTTATAAATGGTAGATTGTTTAGTTAAATTAAACACCACTTTTAACTAGTCATGTAATAATTATTATCGTGGCGTGTGAAATAATTAGAGTAGATTTAATTTAGCGAAGATGCCATTATCTAGGCCTGTCTGTGTAATTAGTGCAAGTATTTGACACCAGGGGTCAGACTATAATTAGTGTAACTGCTTGTCATTGTTCCTCTTTATGGTCCACTCGCACATCTAGATGTGCTAGGATTGGCCTACTAATTACAACATCATTCTATAATATGTTTAGTCACTCAGTTCGTTTGCACTTGAAAGAGAATAAGAAGTTATATTAATTCAAATTCTTATAGGAATTGTTTAAACATTTGAATTCTAATTACCTCCGTTTCAACCACCAATCCTAGACTTATAAATCTTGTGCAAGTAAACCTAAGACAAACAAGGACTTTTAATATTTTGTTTGTCAAATGCCAGAATCTGGGTTTAGTGGTAAATATGATTCGCTGAACATTACTATTAGTTTTAGAACTTGTATTATTTTCATTTATTATTTAGGATTGGGCATTTGAACGAGTATGAGTTCTCCACTATTGCGGTTTAAAAATGTTTGATTGTGTTCGACGAGTCAGATTTTTTGTGTCCTCACAAAAAAGCTAAACTTGTAGTTACTAGAGGACTATAAAAACCATGGTAAAAAATATATCACCTTGAACCTCGCAGTTGTTTGTCTAATTTTAGTTATAGTTTAGGTTTTTTCCTATGTAGGTATGTCATATTTACGAACGCGAATTTGCTATCAATATTTTCATGATACAAAACAAAACAAAACTAACTTCGGACGAACTTTTGGCCTCCGTAAATATGGCACTCATTGAAATCAACATCTGTATTATTAGGAGAATAACCCAAATGTTATCTAGATCTACCATGTTTTGAAAAACTAATAATACTTTTTTGTATGATAAGTAGTGTGGAATTCATGCGCGTAGATACTTTTTTCATTACCTGCTACCGAATGATTGTTACTTTTGTATGTTTTATTTATTTTTGTGGTTTATTATGTTCGAATAACTTAAATTAGCGTGTATGTTTGTTGTATTACGATGTTGATCGTAAATAGAGTGGGGCAAAATTATTGTTAATAATGTTGATTTTTTATTTGGTGCAAGATATTTATGTCTAAATTAGTGCTGTTTACAAAAATTACTTACCTTTATATTATCGTTAACGAAGAAGTTTATTTGTCATATGATTCGGTGATTTTTATTATGCTGACTGCAGTAAAAATGTAACTGATTTTAGACATAAAAATCCTGCACGTCTAAAATGTTTTGTTCGAACAGTTACATGTACGCGTGTCTAAATCGAAGTTCAGATTATGAACAAGTTACAATATAGCTATGAATATAATTAATTGAGCATGTATACATTTGTTTTAATAAGAACTCCTACCCTTAGCATTAGATGAAACTTTTCGGATAATCGCCTTAGTTTACCTCTCACCTTTAATACGGAGCAATGGATGCTCTTAGGGCTCTTTCAAATTAGACTTTTAAGCGGACGTGCGTTAGCAAGACCGCTTTTTCATTCCAACGCAATCATCATACAATTTTCCTTGTGCGGTCTTGCAAACGGGCTACTAATTTCTGACACAAAATGTTCTATACTCTATAGAATGAAATAAAATTCCTATCTACCTACTTAGTAAGAGCCCCCTGTATTCTCGCACATTGTGATAACATGTTTATCTCTCGAATACCTAAACGAAATGGTCGAATTAGATTAAATAACATGATATCAATACATCTGCTATACTAAGAAGTGATAGGAAATGGTTATCTTTATAGAACTGACTGACAGGCTGACTTGTAGTTGAAAAATTCTAGGAAAATATTAATAGTGACAGTTATTTCGAAATGGGGTCATTCATTTATTGCGTAAGACTATTTTCGCTAGTTTTAGACCACGGTAACACGTTTGACGACTACCAAGGGGAATTCCCGGGAGGCGCAATGCAGGTGGAGCGAGTCCGTTCAAGTCCGTTGCCATAAAATCGTTTTGCTATACCAGTTGTTGGCTGGTGAGGCACAGAGGCACCCGCTGAAAACCAGTGTCGAGGCACGCACGTGCACCTTTTTGGCGCGAAATACAAACTATTTACGATATAGGGTAAGTGCGCTAGTTTTCGTCCAATTATCGGAGTTGCCAACTTTGTGATGCGAAATGAATATCTTAAAATACACTTACTCATATGTATCATATGTCATTTTAGTCCTTAAATAGTCTACTTTACGTTCATATTATATGACAATAAGTAAATACTAGAGATGAAACGGATAGTTGTTTGGCCGGATACCGGATACCGGATATCCGGCCAGCTGCTAGGCCGAATAGCCGGATATCCGGCGGCCGGATAGTTGGCCCATTGTCTCGTTACATGTCGTGACGAGTTTAGCGCCGCATAGGGCTTCGAACGCGATCAGTGGGTCTATTAGTAGACTAAAGTCTGTTCGCCGAGAGTTGATAAAAAAATAAATATCAGAGGTTCTAAACTCATTATAAATTGCGGCCCGCTAATTATTTTTGTCGATATAATGAAAAAGTTGGTAGATTATCATTATTATCTCTTTTAAATTTACGGGATTTATTCCGGTTAGGGCATACGTGGGGATACGGATCAAACACGTGGCGTCCATGTGTTGGATAAAAAGTATTTCATTATTATCAAGTGGCTTATAGTGTATCCCAATGTTGGGCAAAGCCCTACCAACTGTCATACCATTAATTTCGGTCTTATGTAAAATAAATCTATTCTGTTTCACACATTGCTTTTCACACATTGCGGCCCGCCGGCCGGGGCGCTTGACGACAGCTGCGTGGCTCGTACCATGGTACTCAGTGCGCGTTGTGACAAACGACGCCCGCCATACAGAATGCGATAATTAAGCGACAGTCGCTATTGCAAGATATTTCATAATATTTATCAACTCTCGGCGAACAGACTTTAGACTAGTCACACTTTTCAAAAATCGAATCAGTCCGAATAGAATGTCAGAGTTTGCCACTTGTCTAGGGGGCAGATCAATTCGGACGATTTCGGTTGCCATCGTGAGAGTGTGATTGAATAGCGAAAATTCAATTAGTTTACTTGCTGCATACTCTGACTGAACTGCATCATGACATCAGACCATCAGTGAAAAAAAGATCGCCTATTTTATTTGGCAATATTTCGACTTAACAGATTATTTATGCATTCGTCATTAGAGTGAATAGCCCAGAAAAATAAATTAGTTTTTTTAAAGGCCTCAATATAGCTTTTTGTAACTTTTTGGACTTTAAATAAAAGCCGTCATTATTATAAGCCCTTTTATTGATGTTTACTTCAAAGAT